TTTCAATACCAGTTGTGTTGTTGTTTCTTTGCTTTCATTTCTCTCCATTCGTGCCGAGGTTTTGGCGCTGGCATTTTTTCCCACGAATTTCCGTTCACAAGAACGCTCCAACCATATTCGTTCATACTCCAGAGAGAGATCGGCACCATTTATGATGTGCTACTCCAGTTTTATATGCTGTCATAAACAAACAGTTTTGAATCGTTAAGACATATTTGTTACATAAATGCACCCAGAGATGAGTTAATAACAATAATTTAATAATAACACTGCGAATGGCAAACATCAGCGGCCAAACAAACAATAAACCGAACGCGTGCACAATTCATGTATCTTCTAAGTGTATGCGTGTTGTCTATACATATAATATTCATTCTCTAATATATCTACTACACAAAAGCCTCTGTGAATCTCATTAAATTTGAATGAGAATTATGTTTTCATGACGCATTTAAATAAATATAAGAAAGAAGCAACTTTCGACAAGCAAAAGTGAGTGCGTGAAGAGAGATGGGGTGGTGACGTGAAAAAAAAATGCGAACCAACGTCGATAAAAGTCAAATTGGTTAGCGTTCGAATAGATACCATAGCAATATGAAATCATTGCCGCGCACTTCGCCCGCGAAATGGTTGTTTGATATTTGTCAGCATCAAACACCATTCACGAGCTTGGTCTCGCATACACAGCCTTCGAGAGTCAGTCATTCAGTCAGTCAACTAGTCGTTTGTTCGTTCGGTTGGTCGCTCGGCGCGACCTGAAACACTGAAGCGACAATGATGACGATGACGACGAGGAATGAGTGTGTTAGCTGATTGCGTTCAATATGCACGCTGCGTAGCTATAATTTTGTCATAAATAGCAGTTATGTGTATGAGTTGAATGTAATAAACGCAGAATTTATGAAATAGACACGTTGTTTGATTTTTTTTCATTGCCTCGAGAGCTGCGGTGTGGTTTGGTTTCGTTCCATTCGGTTCTGTTCAGTTTTGCACTCTCAATTTCCAGTTTTGAAACACAATTCGCTCTGCTGATTTTGTGTGTGTGTGGTGGAAGCTTACGCTTCCGTGTCTTTCTTCTCTTGTTTTTACCCATCCTTCCGTTTTTCACATGCTGCATTTTATCTTTGCTTAAGTTATTAGATGGTTTTTTGATTATATAAGCACGTGGTTTTCAGATCGCTCATTCTTTTCTTTGTCGATTTTGAATGCATGAACTGAAAATCATCATTTGCTGCTAAATTGTATCACAAATCACTTTCAAGCCGAACTCATTTTATATCGAGAATAAATCAATGCTTATGTCAATATAGACGTTGTGACGTGCAGAAAAAAAGGATCGAACCACACGAATGAACGTTGGAGAGGAAGAATGTGGAACCGAAAAGATTTGTCAAAAGTAACAAACGCATGAAGCGCATAATTTTTGTGCTCAAGGAAATTTAAAAACTTCAGATGAGAAAATTATGTGCGTTTTTTTTTCGTCTTTTTTTGGATTTCGTTTAGAATTTCATGAGCAAGAAAGAGCGATTGTGGCAAAAGCATGCTTCGCTAAAGTTGATATAAACGCTGCGCATTTTATCTTCTGTATCTGTGCACAACAGCCGAGCAAAAGAGGTGGTACAAACACGAACGATAGATAGAACAGAGCAAACATTCTGCTGTCTCGAATGCGCTCTTATTCTCAGGATGCGCGCGATTTCATGAGATACAATAGTATATTGTGTGCTGAGGTGAACCGAACGAAAGTTTTACCAACAGAAAATATAATGAGCTGCCAAGAGCTTAACGGTAGAAAGCAAATCGGAAATTCTTAATCTTCGAGGATTACATTGATTGATTGTGTTTATGAAAGGGAATCGGCGTGTGTAATATGAGAGACAATGAGAAATTACGAGGTAGCTTTCGGGCATAATATGCATGCTGAAAAAGTTATGAGTCGTCGTCCTCATGGCCGCCAATGCCGCCATCATCGCGTCTTCCTTCAGTTTGTACCGTCGCTGTTGAAGCGCATTTGCTTCATTGCTCGGCTCGTTCATTTAATCTTTCATTCATTTTACGTAATCGTTCGCCGAAGTCTTTCGTGTGGAGCATACTCAAAAGCCCTGCGCTATAGCCATCTCGTGTGCCCCATTTCGTTGTAGTCTGTCCGTCGCGTCTAATTCGCTATGCCATTTTATCATTCAGCAGCTAAAATGGTTATCTTTTTGCTCTTCATTTTCATTTGGTCACCTGCTGTGACTCCAAATTAAATGCACCACAAATCGTAAGATAGCATATTACTCAAAGGAACAATCTCTCTCTATCTCCAACAACAACGAGATGGACAAACGGAAAAAGAAGAAAACGAAAGGAAAAGAAATTTAATGAATGAACGAACGAACGCGAAGCGCACACTTTCCATTCGCACAAATGAAGTTTATGCGATAATTTAGTTTTATTTTAGACCAAATCGCTTTCACCATGGGATTATGAGTTTTTGTGTGCCCCAGCTCTCTCACTCCATCTCGAAATTATGTGCAATAAACGTGCAGTGGCTGTGAATAGTTGAAAATCATAAGTACATTTAATGACCGTGAAACGAGATATTGTACGTAGCCGCTACATTCCATAGCTTTTATTCGAAACTTTCTCAACCGCACACGTTTGCTCGCTCGCCCATACACGCAGATAAATCACCGAAGAAGAATGGAAGCTGCCACAAAGAAGCTATAAATTTAGCTGAGAATTTGACTAAATAAAAAATGTGTGAGTGTGAGTGTGTGTGTGTGGTCTTACAGTTTTTCATATTGCCATGCGACGTTCCATCCGTGTAATTAAATGAAATATTCGTTCAAAATTATTCAACAAACAATTTCACATCGATTTCTAATGCAATGTTCGTCGTCTGTGTGAAGATTCTTGGAATACAAGCGTAGAGAACGTAACGTGCTGCAGAATATTAAGTTAGGAATAAGTAAGATTGTGTGTGGTTTTCGATCGAAATGATACGATTGTGCAAAAGAAAAAGAGAAGAGAAAATGAGTATGAAGAGGGAGAGAAAAAAGTCCAACCAAATCGCCATCGATTCCGAGATTCTACGACACAGTTTACTTCTTCGGAATCACTTGCACTCACGCATCAAAAGCAAAGCAGAAGATTAGCAAACTTCCGTGCGCATAAAGAAAATTAAAGTTCTTGTCTTTTTCAACACTTGTTCGATTCCATACATATCCATAGCATATCCAGGCATTTGGTGTTGAGAGCCAAGATCGTATTACATTTAATCTGTTGATGTGGAATAAATCGAATGGTGTGCTCTTCTCCAAATACGTACTACCATTGAAACCAAGTGAAATGGAATAAAACGAAATGGAGAGAAAATGGTAATTCCAGAAGCACGAAAAAAAGCGCTCGCACACACATATTTTCAACTATGCTGTTGTAGATTGTGCATATCTAGATGTGGCTGCTCTTGTTAGTCTTTCATCGAACAAAAACAGAAACACATTGGTGAAGACAAAAAAAAGCGAACGAACGAATGAATGAATGAATGAACGAGCAAGCAAAAGCATTTCAAAGTGAATTGTAGCGAGATTTAAAAGGCCAAACAAAAAACGGAAGTTTTTAATTCAATAAGTTGCCCCATATAGTTTCGCCATTACACGAATAATTTCATCGATAATCTCGCTCTTTGTAAATTGTGTTCATCTTGTGGTTCGGCTGAGCTTCGAGCACGGTATAAACGTACACAACGAGCAAACGAGCAGGCGAGAGAATGAGAGAGAGGGCGACAACCATCGAAATTGATTTTGTACTCTAATATAATATTCGTAATTCAATCAAGTCAATACATAAAACCATATTTTCACAAGCGCATTGGTATCGAGTCGATATCCATATCCATATCCATTTCGCAGTTTTCGGAAATTGATTTTCCAATCGTCATCGATGAGGATAAATCCGGAAATGAGTGAAGTTTTCCATCAGAAATGTTTTCGTCGCGTCGAAAACACAAATACTGAAACCGAGTGAACAAAAAAAAATTAAAGTTCCATTGATGCGCCATCGTTCTCGGTTTGCGTTTGAAAAGTCACTATATTTTCCGTTGTTCGTATTTTAGAATATGCTACTTAATATTTCGCGCACGATTTGTTTCGACGCTCGCATAGGCATACAAATGATGCGACATTTATTTACTCACTATTGTTTTTGTCACTAGTCCGAATGTGCGCAAGTGTATACAGTAAAACCTCCCAATAGTGGACTCGCTCCGGCCAAAAATTGTTTCCACTATCTCGAGGTTTCTCTTAAACAGAGGTTCCACTATTGGGAGGTTTTACTGTATATCTATTCACATGTCCAGCATCATGGGAAAAGTGGAATTGAGAAAGAAGAATTGTTATTGGAAATTCCAACTTGAAATAGAAGTTTTGTGTGAACAAATTTTTTGGCCATATAAAATAATCCATTTTTATGAATTCTCTTCTACTCTTTCCACTTGGCAACTGGCATTGTTAATTCACAATAGTTTTGACTAAGTCATCGCCAACAAGAGTTTGCCTCGACTTCTTAAAGTGGTAAAAAGCTGTTCGTTCAGGCGAAATAATGTCGGATTTGTGCAACCGAAAAGATACAACGATGTTGACGACAGCCAAAATGAGTATTTCGGTTGCGTTCATCGAATAGAAGTTTCATTGTTTCCGCAAGTTTACGGGGTGATTTTGTCAGTCGAACATATACACGCCAATTTGGAAAAGCGGATCTATGCTTTAAACGACAGCATCAAATCGCCGGAATGAGACTGAAAAGCTTATGGTTTTGAATACTTTATCAATTCGGATTGTATTTACCTGGGAATTAGCTATTTTGTGTTTTTGTGTTGGTGTGCTTGTGTGCGTTGATATTCCATTATTTTACCGTAACAAATAAAATCCGCTTAAATTAACTAGAGAGGAGCACTTAAATTTTACAGTATCTTGGTTAACGAAATCCGTTTCTGTTTTTTGTATCTCTATTTGCAGGTCTGTCATCCGTTTTTACCAAGAGTATAACGTTAGGTTCAACCAATTTCGATAGCACAACCAGTGAAATGTACATATTTTCAACGCCGACAAGGTCTTCGACGCCGATGCTCGCAACCAATTCACAATCAAATGGTGTTCGATCGGTGTCACAAACACAATCAGACCCATTATCACGTAACAAAGATACCACTAATATGTCGGATAAGATCTTTAGCAAAAATTTTAAAATGCTAACGAAAATGAAGCTGCCGCATCAACAACAACAACAAATGTATCAACAGATCGTATCATTGAGCCAAGGTAGCATCAGCAGCAGTAGTAATAATAATAAATTAAAAGACGATGTGATATCACAACAGCAGATAACTAAGGAAACAGTTGTGTCAGCATCAAATGCAGTGGCAGCTGAATTGAAAGGTGCACCAATGCTATCGATCCATGAAAATGATAACAGTAACAACAGCAGCAGCAGCAGCAGCATCGATGGTCATTTCAGCCATAATACGTTAGACGAATATTACAAGGAGCCCATGTACTTCGGCACGGAGAATAGCACCACTGTGAACACACAGATTGGTGCGAATGCACACTTGCCATGCACCGTACATTACATCGGCGAAGGCGTCGTAAGTATCATTCTATCTCGCACTCACTCCCTCATATTCACGCTTGGCTCGCAAAATAATTCCTTTGCTAAAATCAAATTTATATGGAAATTCATGCATATATAAAATCTTGATACACACAAACTTGCGTTCACTTTGCTCATGCTGTTCCTTCTACTGAAAATAACTGCTGACGACAGTTCAAACAGTTCAACCTCTCACTTTCCATATTTCAATAAAAATGAACTACTGCCAGTGTTCTGTCGTGCTTGTACACAATAATATGTGAAGAGGAATGTGTGTCTTTCTTTTCATCTCTCTCTCTCTCTCTCACACACACTTTTTTATCTTTTCCATTCTTCCAACATTTCATTGAATAACACAATGAACGACGGCATCAAAATGATAAATCTCTGTTTTATAACTGCAAAACCAACCATTCAACACCTCCTTCTATCCGCCAATTTTCCATTCGTTCGTTGTCGTTGATTTCGTCAGACGGACGGTTGATTGGTCGGTCGGCAACATCACTGCCTGCCGACAATCTTTCGTTAATCTGAAAACAAAACAAAATGAAACGATTCCGATGGAAATCCACATCAAAGAATTAAAAACTTTTTATCGAATTCTATAAAGTTTTATTGTCGAGAATTTAATCAAGACGGAACAATCAAACAAAGGTGATAATAATGGGAATGTATACGGCAAACAATTTAAAAGCGCTATAGTCGTTCAAATCCATTGAACGATAGCAATCAAATGGGAAGAACCACCACAAACAGCCTTTGGCGCAAGCGAAAGAAGAAGAAAAAAAACACGGCCTTCATCTTGTCCGGAAGGAACAAACACTGCGAACGAATGGATTAGACGAAAGTGAAATAAACAAACAAACAAGAAAACGCGCAAAAGTGAAATTCAATATGAAATTTAATCGTACATTTAATAACGACTCACACTAGAAAAAAACATAAACAAACACTATTCAGCAAATACTCACCATATCACTCTTGTTATCGGTTTGAGTGTGTTTTCTTAATTCAATGTTCGGATATATCCCATTTGCTGTGCAACGTCAACACTTTGTGTGTATTGCGCGCGCGTTCGTGTATGTTGGTGATGGTGTTTGTGTGCATACGCTTTCCATTTAGGTTTAGTGTTTATCCCCGTTTTTTCCGTACATTTATTTCATAAGTATCGCATTGTTTGATTTTGTAGTGTTTACGTGCTGTGTGTGTCGTGGTGTATTTTCTACTGATGCTGTCCTTATCAACACTACTGAATCTATGGCATCAATCCATTTTATAGTTCTGTTCACTCTCACTTTTTCGCTTTATATGTATGTGTCCTCTCAATGAATTCGCTCAGAGCGACAGAGAATTGAGCTTTCGAGAAGTGTGAAACATCGAAACGATCGAATGGGAGAGAAAAACAGAGAGAATCGAATGAACACGCTATTTTTTGCGCTGTTTGCGGTTAAGTTTTTCGCTTCAATTTTCTATCTTTTTTTCCTAGTTCTTCCCATTCTTCGTTTTCGTTTGGATAAAAATTCTGTGCACAATGGCGAGTGAGACGACAAATATCCTCACGATTCGGTATTGTGATAACAATTGAGAGCTTACACAGTAAATCGAGATTTCCAATGGAGCACATATGTCTTATATGTGTCGCATGTTATGGGAAAATTACAGCACAAGATGAATAAAAAAAAAGCCAAAAACCAAACCAAATAAACGAAAGAGTCGTCAAGGAATCGCAACAACAATAACAACATCAGAAAAAAATCGGTCATTGCAGAGTATGGCCTTTTCGTGGTGGCTTTCGGCGCTTTTGCCTTCAATTCTCGATAAGATAGCATCTCTTTGTTGACGATTTGGTCGCAAAATATACATACGATACGATATGATAAAACAAAAAAAAGCGGTCAAAATTATGCACATAACAACATTTTCGCAAACGAAAACGCAAATCGACATTCCCACATATTCATTGTCTCTTCCGCTTCCTCAGCGCCCATAGCGCAAATCAACAATGGTACTCGTTCTGCCATGCATATATACAAAGCGTACAACAAAAGCAATCACAAAAGCCAAAGCCAATCTGAATGGCACTCGAGTCGAATGGAAAATGAAATAAAATGAAAAACGAAGAAAAAGAAGAGAGAAAAAACAGTCAGCCAGCACATACTCAGCCTGTCCCAGTCACAGGGAGAAAGAAATAAAAGAAGCCAAATAAGTCGTGCGAGGCGATTAGGATCCCGTTACGTTCCTTTTTTTCCCTCCATCATCTGTGTGTATTGTGTTGTCGTGTGAAACACGCGTTAGCTGTATTCAAAATACAGATATCAACGTAATTCTCTGTAAACATAAACGTTTTAGCTGAAAATGCAAATTCTCTGCAAATACTACGCATACAAATATAGCGTGACACTGATTACTGGGATAAATGTCACATATTCGTTATTTTTTTTTCTCTTCTCTTCAGCTCGCCATTTTTTCTACTCAATCTCTCATGCTCACATGCTTTTTGTGTGTTTGTGTGCGTGTATGTTGTGCGTTCTGTTTGGATTGCATCAGCGAATTTATTAACCCAAAGAAAGACAGCATATTTTTCCATCTCGTCAATTTTCATTGGAAAACTTTTTCACACGTACAAACGTGTTGTGTGTAGATGCAAACGAAATCGGAGCCATTTCGAATGATGAATGGCTAGGAAATGGCGGATGTGCGAGCAAATTTACCCAAAGATCCATTTATTTGATGCGTGCGCTATTTTTTGTTCTCACACACTCACTCTCTATATCTTTCGTTGTAGGTTTCATGGATTCGCCGAAGAGATTATCATTTATTAACTGTCAGTCTAACAACGTACAGCTCTGATGAACGGTACAGTGTGTCCCACGCCAAACATTCCGAAGTAAGTACGAACGGTATAGCCGTGCGCTTTAATTAATGGCATATTATCGTTGACGCAGTTTGGTCATCGATGACAATCGTAAACATCAACGTCGATGGGCTGGGGCTCATTAATTATTTTATTTATTTCTCAATCTGTTTCGTAAATGTTTAAACTTTTTTTATTTCTTTCCATCGTCGTTTCAGGACTGGACGCTGCAAATAAAATATGTTCAATTACGCGACGCAGGAGTATACGAATGCCAAGTTTCAGTGCATCCACCATCCTCCATTTTCATTTATTTGAATGTTGTCGGTACGTACAAATTCCAATGAAAAATATTCTTGAACGAGCAAATTTTTGGCGCACCTTTTTTCACATTCAAGTGAAGGAAAAAAAGTAACCGAAAGAAAATAAAATGAAAAACTTAATCGTATTACTGAATGTGAAGTTCCCGATTTGCGAAATATGACGAGTTTATATTCGGTCAAAGTTTTGCCATTCAAGTTAGACGAGAAGTTTTGCGTGTTCATGAAAAATGTCGTTGAAAATGTGTACAACGATAATCATAATAATCAGAACGAAAATAATATCAGCGTTATCAATGCAGTGTATGTTCAATATTAAAAAAAAAAACATCGATCGTTGGCGACAATTCCAGTGTACAATGTACATTCTGTAGCTCAATAGCTGGCGCACATCACATCGTAAGCAGCCGAATTCAATTGAATCGAAGTCAAGTTTTTGATGGAAATTATCATTATTTATATTCTTTGTCAGTGTGTCGGCAGTCGGTCTTTACTTCTATGTGGCGGTCTTCTCGTCTTCCTCATTCGCTTGCTTGTTACAGTCACAATCCATGCCATCCTGGTTGGCAGCAGCAGTAGCATCTTGGCTTTGTCTCCACTTCCATTTTTTCTCTCCTTTTTTTCCTTATTAAATTCACAGACATGACTTTTGCCATTGCTATACACACTGCCACTGCCTCCTTCTCTCGCTCTTTTTCAAGTTCCTGTGCTTTTCCGTTGACAGAACGAAATCCAATTTTAAATGCATAAAAATGTGCCCATTACGGAAATTATAACTTTTTCAAGCATTGCCTTTTTTGACTCCAAGAATGAGCATGTACTATGAACTTTTCCCGATTCGAACTAAATAAAAGAAAGGAAAAAGAAAGAAGAGAGACGACTCCGAATCGATAAACTGAGAAGAGGAAACGTTGGAGAGTAGCAGCAGTAGCACCAACAAAAAAGGTGAATCAGTTGAGGGCGAAAACGGAAGTTGTAAAAAAAATGTGGAAAAAGCATCTTTAAAAGCAAATAAAAGGGACATTCACGAAGGAAATATGTGGTGCAAGTATGTTTCGCATGCCTTGTCAAAAAACGGACTCCATTTCGGCATGCCGAATTCAATCAAGTTCACTCTGGAACATACATAGTGCGAACAGAAGAGAATCCCCTGTTCATCGAACCAACACAGCGAAACACGGACAAAGAAAAAAATGGCGACAACCACCAAAAAAAAAAACTTTTTTTTCCAACATCACATTCAAGTATGCAAATGTGATGTGACAACTCGCTTGTCACTTACATACTACTACATGCATATACAGACCAGATGAAATGTTGTGCTTTCGTTCACAAAAAGATTTTTTCTTTTTTATTCCCGTATGCGAAAGCTTTCATTCTTCTTCGTTGCATACTTTTATTATGGACAGTGTGCTTCCGAGCGCTCTCATCATTCTTCAAGAAATATTTTCCGCTCGGTTGATTTTCTCTGTGCAGTTGGTCATTTTTACGTCGGTTTAATAAACTGAATGTAGAGTCTTGCGGCAAAAACTTCCACTTTCAATCAGCATCATCGGATTGCTCTTTATTTCTTTCGTGCTACGGTATTGGCTATCATCGCAGTTTTTGTCCGATTTTTTTTTTTAATTGTTTACTCTTTTTTTCTCTATTCCTCTCCCTCTCGAATCAATTGAGGCAATGTACACATGTAATCAGCGAGGAAATTCCAAAGTTTGTCGAATGTCGATTGCTAGTAGCAGTGCAAACAAAATGGAAAATTGCACAAACTAGCAAAATTCAGAGCACTCGCACAATACCCTTGATATTTGGCTCTCTGGTAGCCAACAATGCGATATCGAGTTCGGAATGTAATTTTACCCCGGTAATTCGTAGAAATGATGAGCAAAAAGCACAAAACAATGTTCTCTCTTTCTCATTCTCTGAACGAAACGGAGAATGTTTGGTCACAAATACCCTCGCTCGCTTGCTCACATACAAACCTCTCCGGGCAATGGTCAGGCAGAGACATGGAGATAGAGAGAAAGAGAACGAGAGAGAATCAAGTCAAAAAAGAAACTCAAATTGCAATAAGATGTCAGATCGATGGCCGCTGCACACTTAAAGTGGCACCGACTATATATAGTTAGTCGCACAATTGGGACCGATAAATCAACAGATTTGTTCGTTTTTCCTATTTCATCGTAACGTGTTGGGTCTTCGCTTCGAACATAGCTCATTAACAACATCGAAAGGGACACATTGGCTTACACACCAAAGAATATTTATTTTGCGCTTCATTTTATGCTATTTTTTTCTTTTTTTGCTTCTTTTTCTTCTTCTTCTTCTTCGGGTGTTGATGTTGTTCATGTCTCTCTCTCTCTCTATCGCGTTGTCTCGATATTCCTTCCGTTTTTAGCACTACTTGAAATGTAGAGCTACTAATCTGCTTTCTTTTTTTGTCTCAATACTTTCTGAGTACTGAAACAAATTATGGTGAATTTGAATTTTATGCTCATATTTTTTATTCAATTTAAAACAGTGGCAGTAACGACAAATAAGTGCATAATATCTCAAGGCGCCAATCAAATTTTTATGATAAAATGTTTTTTTTAATTACATTATTTCAAGCTTTTTTCGTACAGTATTTCCTGGGTCTTGAACAGGATTTAAGTGATTTTAGATCTATGCTCATATTATTTATTTAATTTAAACCAAAGGCAGTATAATTCAAAAAAGAAATAAAACCAAGATCTTGTAATTCATTTTTGAAATAACTGAGAATTTTTTTCTGTAGTTTGTTGCAAATAAATATATTACTTCAAAGTTATTTTGATGAAATACATTTCACGTAGTGCGCCAAAAAATAGTTTGTTGTGAAACAACAAAATAGAATAAGTAACTAAATTCTCAAGAACGCAGAGCGGAGCGAAGCGACGCTCTGCGGTCTTGTTTTTCTCTCTGCCATCGATGATGTGTGTGTGTGTATGTGTGGAGAAAGCTGTTATAAGATCCTATTATGCCGCAGAAATGAGTGTTTGATAATGACAATTCTTATGTGGTATGTGAGCATGTATGTGGAACGTCCCATATAAAATGATAACTATCATGTCACACTGATGATGATTCACAAATAATGACACAGATAATGATGATTACATTATGCCAAACTGAATTGTAATAAAATGAGTCAAGGTTCGTTCTTTTTTTTCCTTTTCGTTCAGCATTCGTCGTATAGTTTGTGTTGAGCTCTGCATTTGCACATACGTCGTCGTCGTCGTTGTATGATCCTACCTCACTGCATAAGCCAGTGAGTTAGCTTGAATGTGTTTTGTATGTGTGTGAGTGTTCCGTGCGGAGCGCTTAAATTGGCTTACGATTAAAATAAGCTCAGCGTTGACGCTGTCTCTACTCACTCACTCACTCATTCACTCGCTGGTTCTATCTATCGGTTCACTCTTCCTCTTCTCCCGTCTTCGATAATTTTCTATAAACGTTTGTCCTTTATCACCCAGCAGCAAACCAATGACGTGGTCCATAATAACGTTAGCATCGTTCCTCTTAAAACAGCAATGTGTACACTGATTGCACATGGTGTGAAGCAAGTGGATAAAATAATCATCAAACGAAATATCTTTGTCAAATTCAATCAGTCTCACAGATAGCGAGCGCTTATTTATGCAAACATTCCCCCTTAAATTTATTATAAGCTAGTCACTTCTATCCAATGCAAATCACTTTGATTGAATAACAGTCGCATCTGATCATTGTATTTGCATTGTGTAACTGCCTTTTTTCCCTTTCTCTCCTCATACATATCTCTCAATTATTTGAAATGCAGGATTATCATTTTTGTTTGATTTCTTCTATCTTTTGCATCACTTTATTACTAATATCAATTGTTCATAAAATTTTTTACATCGTTTCGATTTTATCGATTTCTTGTTACTGCAGAGGCTCGAGCTGAGATTGTTGGACCACCGATACGATATTTGACACCCGGCTCAACATTAAAATTAATATGCCGTATTGTGCAAAACACTGAGGCGTCAGCATTTATCTTTTGGTATCATGACAACCGGATGATCAACTATGATGTCGATAGAGGCATCAATGTTTCAACAGAAGCAGGTACAACATCGATAGCATATTATATACACAAATCTATTCGGTTTTCATTAAGCTTTTCAATATTCTTGGCATCTTTTGTCAACACAAACAACCAACAAGAGCTACCCAGACCGAGGGAAAGAGAGAGAGAGAGCGAGCGAAATACCACTCAGCCACACAATAACAAAAACAACCCGTCGACCAAATTGTATTATCCGTTCGAGTTTCGAGTTTCAATGAATGTCAGTTGGCGTGCAACTGTTTTGGAATCACAAAAGTCCAATAGAAAGTTGGGTGCTCAAATTCAATGAAACTCGATCTTCATTCTCAGAAATACCTTTATTGTATGTTATTGTGTGTGGGTGTGTGCACGCGCGTCTCTATGTGTCTGTGTATTATGGATATAGAAAAGCGTATAAACATGAGATTTTCACACAAGTGCATAAAATATAAAGTTTGTTCGTGTGTTTTGCTTGTTTGAAAAACCAATTTCAGACTATCACTATTCGGAGTTGACCATTCAACGGACAAATCGAGAGCATTCTGGCAATTACACCTGCGTGCCGAGCAATGCACAGCCGGCTTTTGTGCTCGTCCACATATTCAAAGGTGAGTATTATACTGAATTCGTTCGTTCTCCTCAGTTTTCTCATGAAATTCAAATGATATTACCATCATATATATTTATGGTTTGTTTTGCCTCATTCCTCCTTTTTCTTCTGCTTCTTCTTCTTCATGGTGTACTCGCTCTGAAGCGAAAACCAGAGATTTGCTTCACTTCGCTCTCCCTTCCCATGACTTCCCTGCACAGCAGTGCTAGACACAATATGCGAGTATTGAATGAAGCGAAACAAATATGCGTTGGCCTATTGCCTTGACCACTTCACAAATTCTCTTTAAATGAATTGCTAACGCTTTTTGACGTCAATATGTATGTATATTGTATGTGTGTGCGTGTGTACTGGCGCATTCGCTTGCTCCCTCGCTCGCACAAGTGAACGACAGCGTGCGCTAGATACACGTCGCACATCCCAACACATTTTTCAACAGCTTCGGAAGCCCTTGTCATTTAGCTTTGTTTTTATTGTCTTCCATCAACAGCCTGCAGCAGTTCAAATGGAATGGCAATATAGTGGCCTACTATATAATATATATATTATATATATATATACATAGAGTTTAGTGAATATTTTTATTCGAGCAAAATTTGTTGGGATAACTTAAAAGCTTTTCAGAGTTCGATGCAAATCCATTAATCGTTCCGACCAGGGTTCTATCATAAAAGTTTTGAAATTATGGCAACCGTATTTTTTTCACTCTCTCGTTCATCTTCTATTTCCATTAACGGATGCTCTTGCTTTGCCAGTTAATGGTTTGATATTCAAGATTGGCTTTTCTTTCTTTTCCTTTCATTTCTTTCATTGCATACGAACTACTTTTGTCGGAAACATTTTGAGTTTCGCGTTCTTAAAAACCACTTGATTAGCCATCCATTGATGTTGCTTTCAATCAATGGAATCGTGTTTTTTTCGAAGAGCGTTAGCGAGATTTAGGAAATAGGGGATAGCGAGAGAAAAAGAGAGAGAGAGAGAGTCTCTTCCATCAAATTACATAAACTCTGAGTATTTCAATAAAACTTGATCTCGCCCATTGAAATCAATTAATTTACTTGATTTTCTCATTTCTCTTTGGGTAGGCGACAATCCAGCGGCAATGTACCACGAGCACCGAGGCAGTGCATGCACACATGCAACCGAACGATACCATCTACTTACAATGATTTCGATGATCTGCGTCATTACATTCCTGCGGCAATGCATCGAACTTATCTCAGATACTACATGAACATCGTCGTCATCATCGTCATTGTCGAAAGCGTCGTCGTCGTCATTAATGCATAGTTAAATTTATTCAATGGAAGTACTTAACATTTAGTATCAAAAAGTTAATAACAATGAAAAGTTTTCTCTTATCAACACACACACAAACATACAAAGACCGTAAAACGTCAAACGTGCATCTCCTTCACTTGAGAAGGAAAAACATACGTTAAAGTGTTGACTCTATGTCGATGATAAAGTTATCTTATAAGGTATTACACACAGGTCGATCAGAGCCACTCCAAATGTGTGAAACGAATTGAGAAATGGCATACATATAGGTATATAATAGTTTAAATTAAAATTAAAATATAGATGAGATTAATGTTATCTACAAAGATATGTATTTTATTGGTTTCGCATAAAGGACGAAACATACACACACAACACAAACACACTCAAAACCAAAAAAAAAATACATTCAAAGAAACACAAAAACACTCACACTTGTTTAGCAGATAAATCGGTCAAGTTAAAGCAACAGCAAAAAAAGACAAGTATTAAATTGTAAAAAGATTAAATTTTAATGAAACAATAAAAACGTACCAACTGAAAATAACGAATCAAAATGAATGGTGTGTATCATTTTAATGTATTTTAAAGTAGCGTTGCTGTGTTCCCGTTGCCGTCATCATAAAAATTTTTAATTAATAAACGAGATGGGAATTCTTGAAAAGCCATTAATTCAATTGGTAAGATGCTCAAGTGAATGCGTTTCTTGTGAATACATGCGGGGCAAATAATGTTTCAAGTGTCTTTTCCAGCTGATTTCTTAACATTTTGCACGCTTATCCAAAAGTATTTCATATAGTCTTTCACACAGACACCATCACAAACTCATCTAACTGATTACGTTCTGTCAACTCCAGTTATTCAGGGTAATCAGATCGCTCGCCAATTTATCACACGAATAGTTTTGCAGTAGATAATCGTATCCATTAATTTATTGTTGTAAGTGATTCAAGTGCTATGATGCATGACATGGTAAGTATGCCGTAAGCTGTCAAAGATTGCCTTTGAATTTGCTTTAATTCAATGCATTGAGCGCGTAAATCACATGAGTGGATTCGTTTTGTTGTTACCTCAAAGTTTTTAAGTGATCCTCTATTCGGCACATAAGCAGGTCTGGAAATAACAGATTGTTAACTTTCATTGACATTTAGAGTATTATTGGAGTAAATATCTTGTAGTTCCTGCATCCGGTTGGCTGCTATTCAATTTTCATATTTCCTTTTTTGAGTTTCCACTCCTTTTCTTCTATCTATTTGGGCATCTCAAAGCTTTGAGAGATGTTCTTCATGAAAACACGATTTACTTCACTTCCGTTTATTTCCTTACAGCGGTTGCTTTGCTCGGGCTCTCCTTCAACAATGTTTGAGCATTTATTTTGGCCGCTACAAAGAGAAACTTTTTTTTTAGCTGAAGTCATTGTACAAAGTTATTACGTTTATCTCTTTGGACAGACCGTACTTTCAAACCCAGTCCCCATTCTATGTTCAGCTACAATGTTGTAAACTACCAAGCGATTGAGATTATCCATGGCTCCATTTTGCTGTGCGTACATTAAATTAATCGTTCGGTGCTTATCCATATTTTTAAAAATTGGGAAATAAATCAGTGTTTGCATCATCGCGGATTTTCCTGCCTATTCGATAGCCTAATGCAGATGCATTAAAACGAGATTCACATTAAAAATTTACACAATGCGATAGATATTAATTCAATTTATAACCATGAACCGCTCCATATATACATACATATAAACAATGGCGAGCGCGACGTGAATGGACAAAATGGTTCGAGCAGTCGAGACAGAGAGAGAGAGAGAGAGAGAGAGGGGGAGATGCAAAAAGAAAAGAAAAATCAACCATTTTGACCTGGTTTCCATAAGTATAAACGGTTGCCCTTTTTAATACTATGAACTTCCATTATTTTTGTGTTAAATGGAAACCTGTAGAGCGTGCGCCACTCTGAAGGGAAGAAATGATTTTGGAGTGGGACAGAGAGAAAGAGTGAAACGCTGAGAAGGAAAGTGAGAAAGAGTGCGATAATGTAAAAGTATTTTCCAAGAAGAGAGAGATTTATGGATGAAATCATATGTTGAAAATTGCATCCATCCCCAGGTTAAGTTGCGCATTTGTTAAATTATACTCTCGTTATATGTTTTGTCTCTCTCGCTCTTCCTTCTTCTTCTCTATGTTCATCTTCGTTTTCTGGCAGTGCAGAAAAACAGTGGTCAAAATATTTTTTGATAAACCGTTTATAAACCGATATATCGTTATAATATATTTTATGAATGCTCATGAATCAATATGCTCTTCATCGAACGAACGACGATGGCAGCAGCCGAGAGAGTGAAAAAAATGTGAATAGATTCAATTGGTCCAAAGAGATATTATTAATCAAACATCGTTCCAATGTGTCGAGCATGGAATTAAACTAAAATAATTATGTCTATAAATATTATATGACCAAAATGCAGTTGATTCAGTTGGTGAAATGAAGTTGTTTACCAAAGCTGATTGGATAATGAACTTCAGTTCATTTCCATTTTCCTAATTTCCCATAGCTAATTTTGGAATAGAAAAAAATCGCAAAATAAATGATACAAATGGCAAATGTGTTTGTTATATCAATGAAACTTTTCTTCATTAAATTTCCATTAAATTTCATAAATTTGCTTGAGCAATTACATATTTTCTGATTTCAACTTGAATTTATGAGTTAGCTAACCACATTTTGAAGCCAGTTTTTGACATTTTCAAAACATCCGAATTGGCAAATTCGTCGTCGTTGGCATCGTCAGCATCGTCTTCAGACGAGGCATATGGTGTATTGTTGTACGACAACGAGGATTGAATGCGTTCAAGCAGATCGGCAGCAACGATAGCAAAATCCTCCCATTCTGGATCGGGTGAGCTGCCGCCGAATAATTTCTCTTCATCTGTAAAAACCATAAATTGAGTGAAGCAAACTTGTAATTTTGGGTTTTGTACAAACTGTTTTATGTAAATTACCCAAATACTCGAGAATGTCAGCAGATATGTAGTCGGCTTCGTCCTCGCCCAACGCACTGACAGCATTGCCCGCATCAATTATGTAATTCCACATTGCCTGTTCCACATTATATAGTACGCACGCACACATACACACCCATACCGAAAAGAGAAAAACAAACGGAGAAGAGAAGAAGTAAAGTCAAATTAAATTTGGTTCCGTTGAACGGTTAAATCAAATGGAGTGGAGGTTTTTTTTTTCTATAAAAAAAATCAAACGAACTTGACAAGTAATCAAGGCCAAAAGCCAATCATGCTTCAATGCACTCCGTTGGAGAACATTTCGCAGTAGCAATGGTCCACGTAGCTCACGGAATGGCGCCCGTCGTTCCCAGTCGCTCAACATATTGACCAAAACACCACAAGAAGTCTCAACAATGTCCCAATCATCGGACGACAGATTCTTCAAGAGAAATTGCAAACCGCCGGCCGAATGGACGGCAACACGAGCATCGAGTGACCTTGTCAAATTGCCCAGAACACGTGCTATTTCGGATTGTATGGTTTCAGGTGCCCATTGATATATCGCACATAATGCAGCACTTATTGTTGCCATTTGTTTAATCATGCTTTCAGGATGCTTTATTTCCTTTGAACCATCTTCATTCGTCTGCTGATCGTCTATCTCATTCGGCTGATAGAATGATAAATTGTGAATTGCGCCAAGAGTAGCCAACAGCAATTCTTCAAATTCGGAATTCTAAAAGAGACATGACACATTAAAAGTGAAAAAGAAAGCGGGTAAATGTCAACAGCAACAGACAAAGACAATAAAGTCGAATTGCGTCTGAAAAAGGGTTTCTTCTCAAAATGACTATATAATAATAAAGTCAAAATTGATTACAGAGAAGATTGTCGTGGGCGCTCAAAATGTGTCGTCGAATTCAATTTCATGCTAATTAATTTTCGCTCTGGACAACATTCAATTTTCCAATTGGCAAACAACAGGGCAACACAACACAACACAACATAATTTAACATAAATTAATTTGTACGTACAAAGTTTAGGCGATGCTTGTTGATTGTGTTCAAGAGCGTTAACAAAATCGTACCCAATTGGTGATGATTAGCTAATTTATATCCGACTTCAGCGTTTACGCTTAGATTTGCTATGACGCGAATCAATTTAATAACAACGTCCGTAACTGTATCGATCTGACAGTCATTTGCTTCAACATCGCCGCTGCCGCCGCCACCATTTGACATTTCATTATCGGTGTTTTTCAAGCCACCGCGTGTTTCACGCCTTAACATCACCGATTCGTTAGCATAATATTCCGAACATTTTAATAAATATTCCATAGCAACGTCGTTGTTGTAAAATTGTAGCCGAGCCGATTCACATTTTGCCATCAAATTGCCCAGAATATAGCCGATGCGATTTAACAGACTCAGTGATTTGTTTGATGTTGAATTTACATTTTCCGGGTCATACTTTTTTCGATGTTCGATGGGTGCTACATTGACGAGTATTGGTCCGAGTAGAATTCCCAGCCTGGGTGCCATACCAGCCATAACCATGCCATCACAACAGCTTTCGTGCTCTGATAAAATGCTCAGCGTTCGTATTATGCTCAATTGCACTTCCGCTTGATTAATGCAAATTTCAGCCGCCCGTATCAAATGTGGCCCAGCCAATGCGATTTGACCCTCAAAATCTTTTGATGTTACCATTGAAAAATCAACTGAATCATAGCTTTCACTTGACTTCGGTGGCGACGGCACCGGCATCCCCATTGCGGCAGCCATTTCCATTTTTTTTGTTATTGTTTTCCAAAAGTATCAACTGTAACCCATGATCCGACATAATAATTTTCGATAGGACACGGAAGGCACTGCTCAACTGATATAGAGCGTGTAAAGTCTGAGTTGGCAATTTTGCAGCCGCTCCCTGGGAAAACAAAAGGGAAGAGAAAGAGAAAAAAAGATGGCAATAACCGTTCAAGTGTTGTTGTATAAAATATATGTGCAGTGTGCAAAGACACAGGCGCACAAGCACCAACACACAGAATTCGTATGTCATGAAATTGCAAATTTTACCGCTTCGTTAATCATTTGGAGATGTAAAATCATCAACGGATTGGCGCCATGCTGTATCAAGCGACAGGCCAACGGTTTGTGTTTTTTCGCTGTTGTTACTGGTAGTGGCAGCGGTGGTGCTGGTGCTTTTGATGATGAATTCGAGTTACGACTTCCACTTGTTACCAATGACGAAACCAAAGCATTTGCTAAAAAGCGTACAGCACCATACCCATAAATGCAAGCTTCAGGATCGTCAATCGGATTCGCTCTACCCAGTCCGTCGATTAGCAACTCTATCAAACCGTAGAAAAAATATTATTACGAGTTAACGTTTCTAATTTATGTGGTTAGAAGTGGGTTGCATTACACATTTACCTGGCACATCAATATTCGCAAATAAATTGTCATTCTTCTCATTTCTAGCAACCTTAAAAACTAATTTACAAGCTCCAGTCAGGTTGCTGCCAGTGACATCCAACTGAGTTGATGATGTGAGTAGGGGATGGAGAGAGAGAAAGGAAGAAAGAGAAGGAACGAAATGAGAAAAAACAAAACGCACAAGCTAAAATTGGTTACATTATAGCACACATTTGGTGCCATTTGGCGGAAATAGAATGCTCAGAATATATTTTAATATTGCATGAAAAAGCGAATCGCAGAGTGGTGAAATTCCCTACCACAAGTACAACGCGTGCCACGGATAGCAGAATCTGGGGTGAGTTACATTCAACCAAACCGTAAAGTGAAGACAATATGGAACCGCGCCAATCGTTGCGAACTCCTTTAACCCGTCCGTATAGCTCGGTTAGAATCTAGAAGAAACAGAAGAAGAAAACAATGAACCGACACGCCGAACAATAGTCAATGGATTTTCTAGCATGCACATTATATTTTTAAAACAGCAGCCGCTACAAACCCCATTTATATGTAAAATAGTCTCTTCGCTACAGTCCTTAATGCCGGAATGCGATTTCAGCATATCCAAAAGGATTTCGGTAGACGATTGGGCGAGCAGATCATTGCTGCGCAACAACAAGCGTCTCTGTTCACTGATCGGCTGCTAAGCATACATAAATGAATTACATTTTTTGTTCACCGTTAGATTTTTTTTATTCTCTGTTGCCGATGTTTGTCATGAATAATAAGGTAAAAATATAAGCGGAAAAAAATGTGTATTTGAATCAGAGGTTGGTTGCAGATAAATTTATTTATATAAATTTCGAATATCAAATAAATTTATCCGATATTTTTCATGCGTTGTGTTGTTTTGACGCATTCGTAGCACATAAACGAAACATCGGCTGTTGTATTGGCAGCCAGCTATTCATCGCAGGAATGAGATTTTTGTTTTGTTTATTTACCCACAACGAGAACATGACGTATTTGAAACGTCTAACTCCATCTACGGATTTTTCCAGCAGTTGTGTTCTATTGAGTTGCGGTTTCAACTATTTTTGGGCGAAATTATCTCAAAAGTATGCTAAAATGAGTTATTTGTCATGCGAACGCTCAAACGACTACTGTTGATGTACGCACTGATTCAGTAGACATGCAATGGTTACTAGATGACAAATTTACAATACACTCGAGTGCGTGTATTTGCGCGTACATTTCCGGTAGCCTTTTGAGCGTTCGCATAACAAATAACTCATTTTTGTATATTTTTGAGATAATTTCGCCCAAAAATAGTTGAAATCGTTATATGTCTACTCGATTCACTACTACTGGAAAAATCCGTAGATGGAGTTAGTCGCCCGTACCAAATGTAATGTATTGAAACTCCATATACATGCTCGGAGTACTAATGTATTGGCAATGTAAAACTAAATGGCGAACATTTTCGTCTCTGCACATTTCTTATGGACTATACATACTATGTAGTGACACAGTGGCAGAATTGTTGACAAATAACGGTAAATGAACAAAACGAAAATCTCATTCCAGCAATAAATAGCTGGTAAATGCGTTAGAACAACACGACGCATGAAAAATATCGGATAAATTTATTTGATATTTGAAATTTATATAAATAAATTTATGTGCAACCAACCTCTGATTTGAATGAACACACTTTGCACAGCGATGTGGAATGACGTCTCAATAATTAGGATTTTGAAATTGTTTGAATTATTTATAATATCTCATTTTTTTCTGCTTCCGAAACATTCGTTCACACGGCAAAAAAGAATTGAATAAAAAGCGTAATAGAATCCATCACACCGAGCTCGATACCGTGTAGTGTTACTTACCTTTTTCATTGATGATTGATTGGTTTCATCAGTCAGCGGTAAGGTAATTTGTCCATCATATTCTAAAATATCGACAATCTCCGCCGCAAAATTCTTTTGAATGTCAATATTAAAGGTTCCGTTGTCACTGCCACCACCACCGTGACTCTTTCTACGTTGAATACCATTTGCTGAAAATGTATCACCCGAGAATGCATCTACATAAATAAGAACATTATTATATTCCGTTAAATAGAGCGAAATACGATGCCAAGCGCGCATCGCATCACACGACCGATGACTTGAAAACAGCACAGAGTTTGGCCTTTTGATCGCTTTACAAAAGCGAGGTCATGCATGTGAACAGAGCATTTTTCGCATTTCTACGCTGGAAAAATTATCGTTTTCATTTTCCCGCAAAAATAGAATGCTTTTTATGGTAAAATTCATGGAATTGAATATATTCAACAAGCTGCACATATTGGAAATGGCTCTGAAATGTTTGAATTGGTGCTTGAATCGTTGTGTACAGAAGAATCTGCACGCATACTGGTGCGAAGAGCGTAATTAGGTTTTTGATAGCAGCCTGAATACGGCAATCGTATTTTTCAAATGGCTTTTGATAGAGTTCGTGATATCAACAAGTTTGTGTGTATCATCATCAGAATATTGAGTGGAAAAATGGTACGAGTAGCAAAGAGTATGAAGAGTGTGAGTGGGTTTTATATTTCATTGCCGATACAAAATCCAATTTAATTGATCGTAACCATGAATTATATATTTTCGAGGAGGCATGCATACTCCACGTGTCCATTGAGAGTAGAGTAGAGCAGAGCAGCGACTGCGGAAGACGTGTAGAGTGTACTCTGTACTGTGTTTAAACTTTTATTGAGCTCATACAGAGATTATGAGCTTCGAGAGTTTGTTTCTCGCTGATGTGTAGCCTTACACGGCTATCATTCTATCCAGTAACTGCATGAATTCACTGATATAAATACACATGTATAGTAGTAAATCGACCACTGCACTTTCCAAAACCTCGATCCCAAAAGCCACCGGCCAACCAATGCCTGTATATGTACAAGTACATTGTACACCACAGTCGAAGCCAATCAAATTCTCAAACAAATCGATTAAATCGGTGCAAATTGCTTTCAAATATAGCTGAATCATGTTTACTAGCGAATTACTTACAATTAGACGAAGTCCCAGCTTTTGAATCGGTTAAAAGTGTTGGTAATTTCGGACAGCTATTGGTGCGGTTGGTTTTCGTAGCAATATTAAGATTTATTGCAATGTTCGAGCCGTTATCACCTCCCTCGCCGATGCAGGTATTTGCATAGGATTCATTACAACTATCACTTTTTGCTCGTAAATCCTTCGCATTGTATCCCATTGAGCACGACTCAGTGTAGTGTTGAGGTGTAGCCGTGTTTGATGTCAACTCATTGTCAAACGTTCTGATGTCTGCTGCTTTTGCCTGTGGCTCTCGTATACCATTCAATGAGCCTCGTTTGGCTGCATGAGATGTGGTCCCGATCGGTGGTAAAACACGATTTTCCACTTGCAAATAACTCAAACTGAAATATAGCATCAGTTTAATTAGCCAAAACGTATTTGAATACATACCATACACGAACAAACGACCAACTGTGCAACTATTTTGCCTTTGCTTTTGCATTTTTACTTTTTGTTCGGTTCGCTTCACTATGGTACAGTTAGTGATGGCTTCGAACGTTCGTTCGTTCGTTCGTTCGACAATTTAAAAAAAATATTTTTTGTTCGTTCGTTCGTTCGACATTCATTTTGTTCGATGTTTGGTCCGAACAAAGTTTCTTTTATTTCCAAATCTCCCGAATAAAATTGGTATTACTATGAAAAATTATAATAAAAGCTAATAAAAGCATGAGCTGTAACGATTACATTATAAATTTGATCAATACATCGAATTTTCTAATGTAAAATTTTTTACTTCGGACCGAACATCGAACAAAATGAATGTCGAACGAACGAACGAACGAAAAAATATTTTTTTCAAATTGTCGAACGAACGAACAAAACCTTTTTTTAAAACCATGTCGAACAAACGAACAAGCGTTCGAAAGTGTTCGACGGCCAACACTAGGTACAGTACTGTTTGGTTATGATTTTATCTTTCACCATCCGAATGACAGAAATACAAATTGAACGCTTTGTTCTCACAAAATGGATTGAACAATCAAAACAGCAATCAGTTCGCAATATGTCGCTTTGTATCCCAAAAAGAAATTGACACCAGTTTAGCGCTGGTTTGCTGCTCTGACACCACATTACACACAGTATGCTGCCGCTTTGCCGCTCTCACACTGCAGCATACTGTGTGTAGTGTGGTGTGAGAGCAGCAAACCAACGCCAAACTGGTGTCAATTTCTTTTTGGGATTTGTTGATACGATTATTTATTTTTATTTACCCTAAACTTCAAAATGTAATGCAAACAAAATCTACATCTCACCTGAATGAGCTGGGTGGTCGATCGGCCAACGAGATTTTTCCATAGAGCTGCCGCCGTGGCTCACGTGGTGTAATTGGTCGACGAGTCGATACCAATCGAACACCTGTTTGCAAATAAACAGCCAGAAATTGATGCAAATTCATGCAACAAGGAATTGGAAGAAAAAAATGCCAAAATTTATCAATATTTCCAGTGTTACACCATTTGCAATTTAAATATCGAGCATAAATAATTCTTTTATCTTTGTATAAAATTCAACAATTTAGCTTGTTATGTGGAATGGCGACCTGGTTCATCCACCTTGATAAATCGATAGAGTGAATGTCGTTTGTTGAACCAGATATCTGGCGTACAACCCCCATAATTATCTTATAATAATTTCGACCATTTACTGGATAGCAATTCGTTTTCCCGTCATAGTTTTCACCTTGAAACGACGCGCAATAACTGGTTAAAATTCGATGAGCGCACGGAAACATGAACACGGTACAATGCGAAGAGAGGGCCAATTTGTTTACAGAGCAATTGGAAATTCAGCGTGCTGGAGGTTGTTTTCAGTTGATGGCAGAGGAATAAAAAAATACAGCAAACAAACAACTGTACGCAAATAAAGTGGGTGAGAGTGAAAGAGTGAGAAAGAGGGAGATGTACACAGAAACAAAAGCAAAACCAAAACCAATTCAATGGACGTGTACGCTGTACATTGTGCACCACATCACAACATTGAATGATAAATTATGCATAAATTTGAATTTATTAACATTTATGCTAAATGTCCTGATTTTAATTTTGTTGACCAATACAATTTTTTTGTAATTTATTGCTCAAAGGACAATTGGTTTTGGAGCGCCGATTTCACTTCGAATGAAACAGGAAAATTGGAATTTGGTTGTTTTTTTTCACGATTTTTTTTTTTTTAAATATCAATTCGGTTCCGGTTTTTCGACGAAAGGATATAATTTATTTTGGTGTTTGCGTTTTATATGATTATACATTTTTAAATCGGATTTAATTACTATTCTTTTTCATGTATGTCCATGTGTGTGTTTTTTATCAGAGTTTTAATAAAGTTTGCTATGCAACTGATAAAGTGATCCGCGAATTTGGAATTCCAACCTAAAACAGTATGAGGTAATACGCACCGTTCGAGAGCATTCGTTTTGTTTCGCTGATGGTTTCAGCGGGTGTTTTTCGGCGTGTTTCCATTGAAGACTTTGTCATCGGTAACTGCGGTTTCAACGATGTCAGTGACGGCATTGAGAGTGCCGATAAGGAGGACACCACGTCATTCGGATCGGTTTTGAATTTTTGTCTCGAGTTGGGCAACATACTTGTTTATTTGTTGTGGTTGCTTTTTATTTGGTGTTTCAAAATCGATTCGTTAGTTCTGCGAGCTCATAAAAATGCAGAAGGAAAAACTACTGTTTGTTTGTTTTTTCTTTGCTCCGAAAATACGAAATCACGAAACGAATAGCCACTTTTTTCTCTCAATTCTGCGATCGGATTTTATTCCCGCTGAAACAGGAAAGAGAGAGAAAAGCCCATACACAAAGAGAGATAAATTGATCGCCAAATCACTTTTTCACCACAAAAATTCTGAAGCGCAATTTAATTTGGCCTGCACCATGTATTTACACTCATAACAAACCACCAACCATGTACACCGTTTTTTATTCACTAGTCGAATCAACAATTTTACAAAAATACCATTTTAATTAATAGTCCAACGCACAAAAGTTGGCTTTTTCTGACAATGTTCGCACAGCTTGCAAACTTTTGTAAATCAATTATTTCGCAGACAAAGACTATTTTCTAAACGGTGAAATGTTCGCGTAGAGAGAGAAAGAAAAACAAGCTATACACAATGTAAATCGGTACGCGGAATATTTCACTATGACGATTCAGAGCAGGCAACACACAACTAGAATACAATACCATACTCGGAGATTGTTTACGCGAAACGCGTAACTATGGCGATTGCTTGATGGAGTGCAGCAACTAACAGCTACTTCTATTTATTTTGTGTTCGGTGGCTTTTGATTCAGTCAGAATAGTCACTGAATAAATACACAACCCAAGAGAAACGGTCAATATGTTTATACGCTATGTTTATGCCGAAAATGCACTACAATATATATTCACGCTTATTGGACGCCGAATTAAATATATATTCTAGTGTATATTCAGCGTATTCTTCAACGTGAAATATATTGAATCTATGAATGCATTCATGGCCATCAGAGGGCGCCTGAATATGTTTCACGCTGAAGAATACGCTGAATATACACTAGAATATATATTCAATTCGGCGTCCAATAAGCGTGAATATATATTGTAGTGCATTTTCGGCGGATGGACAGCGTATAAACATATTGACCGTTTCTCTTCGGAACCACACACAGACACAGCACATACCGTACACATTTATAAATAAGGATCAAAATGAATTTAATGGGGGGGAAATATGCTGTACTATTATTATTCGACGTCCCATTTTCGGTGGGATTTCATTTTTTGCTTTCACTTCGATAAAATTCATGAAGCCAAAATGGTGAATGAAAATTCCACAAAAAAGTTTTGTGCGAGTTTATTTTTCGAATGGTGAATGAACTTCGGCTGAAAATAAATCGGCATTTCAATGGAATGGCGGTTGGTTACAGAAACATATGGTTATATTTCGAATATTCGATTCGTTCATCTGTTTCGAAGTGCGGAAATAATACCACAGCTCTCCGCGACGGTATTAAAACAACCAATTGTTCACTTGATTTTTAGGATACACTTTTGCTGATAGAATGATAACTATAAAAGGTTGGTACCAACATGTTCACTGCGGTGAATCATTCCATTCACATTGCGAAATGCTTATAAGTTGTGAGTCACACAACTCAATTCAACTGTAATCCCGGGTGGACCGAATCCATTATGATAATCATTCTTTAAAACTGTCGTCTTTCCGTACATCAAAGCAAGTTACCGTTTCGAAATGTTTCGCTATTCGATTTGATTCGATTCGATCCCATTCTCAAGACCTACCTCGACTAAATGCATATTTTCCGTCTACGGCTAAGGGGTTTGTTGCTCTTGTTGTTGTTGTTGTTGCTCATCTGTGGCACTTGATGTGGCTGCTTACCGCTTCCTCCCCAAGCTCTTCCATTAATCACATTGTGTCTCTACATCGATTCACATGGACATTCCGCCACTCAAATCACAACAACTCAATTACTACGGATGAACATGGCTTTTCGGATGAAAAAGAACAATACGACCCGAAAGCAAAATCCAATTCATTTGAATGCCCAAACGACCTAGTTGTTCGAAATGAAATTAATGATATAACATGACAGTTTCACACATCCTACACAATCAAAATGCCTGAGCATATGCAAATGAAAATTTTGTTTATTTATTGGCATCGCATTTATGAAAATGATGTTAAAATTATCGATTATTATTATTGTACTGGAACATTTGATAATGCTATCGGCATAATTATCAAATTCATGACTCAGAATTCATAATGCTATTAATTTCAATAAATGCGTATCGCTACAACGATGCAACGATATACAGAGATACGGTGAAAGTGAAGACATGAGGGATACACATTTCGCATATATTAAACATTGTATTGATTTCTTGAAGTCAACAAATGTAATATGATGTGATTTTGTCGATTTATTTGTAAACATGTAAGAGATACACTTAAATGTGATATAATACTATTGCTGACAAGAACGAGATGCTCTTAAGTTGGTTCAAAGCTAATTATGAATTGCAATTGGGATCGAATATTCTTGGAATCGCTTTGTAAAATTGCGTATTGAACATAATGCGATTGCAGCAAACGTTCACTCATCCATAAAGTTCATTACTTTCCCTTTGCTCCATTTTTGGAGTAATGAATTGTGGCTGCGAATATAAAATAAAAAAAAATTGTTCATTTCAATGCATTTTCTTAATTAGATGGAAAAAAATAACCTTCTGCACCATATCCCAAATGATAGTCAATCTTGCGATTTTTGTAACATCGATATGCAACAAAAATAAGGGCACCAACTAGTAAAAGTACACCAGCCGCCAGAATAATCCACCTAAATGATTTGGTGAAAATGATTGAGAGTGTTCAATGAGTCATTTAAGTTGATTGACTCACCAAATAATGCCGGACTCGACTGTGGGCTCTTGTTCGGTTGGTTTCTTGTAATTATCTTCTCTGGTTAACTTTTGCCTATAACATTGCTGGCAAACATCGGCAGACAGACATATGGTACTTGTACAATTTTCTTCGTTCGAACCACAAATCGGACAGCAAATATTCGAGGCATTTTTGTTGCTGGATTTTTCATAACCATCATTACATTTGCACACATTCGGTTCAACACACTTGCCATTCGCACACTCGAGCTTACACACCGGCTCACAATTCCAGTTATTTACCGACCCAGTTTCCAGTTGATAACCATCAGTGCATTTGCATTGGTTTGGCGTAACACATTTTCCATTTTTGCAATTCGGCTCGCAAATCGCTTCACATTCTTCGGAAGATCCTTTTTTGAACTGATATCCAGCGTTGCATTTGCATTTATTCGGGGCGATGCATACTCCATACTCACAGCTTTGATCACATATCGGTTCACATTCGCTCACTGAGTCACCTTTAAACCGATAACCACTGAGGCACTGGCATCGATTCGGGGAAACGCATATTCCGTTCGAGCAATTGAAGTCACAGATCGGTTCACACATGTTCAAAGAATCTTTACTGAAGCGGTTGCCTTTGCTGCATTGACATTTTTTCGGAGAAACACACGTTCCATTTAAGCAACTTGGATCACAAATTGGTTCGCATTTGTTCAATGAATCTTTTTCAAATTGGTAGCCTTCACTACATTCACAAACATTGGCGGAAATACATACTCCATTTTCGCAACTGGGCTTACAAATCGGTTCACATTCTTTAGAAGATCCCTTTTTGAATTGATATCCAGTGTTACATTTGCATTCATTCGGGGCGGCGCATATTCCATACTTGCAGTTTTGATCGCATATTGGTTCACATTCGTTCACTGAGTCACTTTTAAACCGATAGCCACTGAGGCACTGGCATCGATTTGGGGAAATGCATTCTCCATTCAAACAATTGAAGTCACAGATCGGTTCACACATGTTCAAAGAATCTTTACTAAAGCGATAGCCTTCGTTACACTGACACCTATTTGGAGAAACACATGTTCCATTTTCACATTTTGCATCACAAATCGGCTCACACTCGTTCAAAGATCCGATTTTGAATTGGTAACCATTGTTGCATTGGCATCGACCCGGGGAAATGCATTGGCCAAAAATACAATCCTGTTTGCATTCTGGCACGCACGAGTCTAGTGCTTCATTCAAATAATAATTTTCATTACAGTCGCATTTATTTGGGGCAATACATTTTCCATTCGGGCAATTTGATTCACAAATTGGATCGCACTTATTTTGCTCGGCATTCCATTGATAATCATCATTGCATGTACAATTATCCGGCGAAATGCATTTGCCGTGCTCACACCCATCGCACACAGGTTTGCAGATGCGTAAGCTGTAACAGAAAAACAGTCACATATGATGAATTATTCATTCAATTAAGATTTTAATCAAATCACGCTTTTTGGTAATGTCTTTTTTCCAGCCACATACTCATTTGTATCATTAGCGTATCCGTCGGAACAATTGCATTGTTCGGGTGCCACACAGCTACCATGCTCACAGCCATTCGTACAAATTGCCGTGCAAACACTCTTATTCGCCTCTTCATAACCATCTTTGCACTTGTAAATTGGTAATCTCTTCGTTTCATTCCTCCACACGATACGCGTTTTAATTACATTTTTGAAACAATATCCAGAACCGCACTTTATACGAACTCTTTCAGTATAAGTTTCATTTTTGGGTTCTGAAGTCATTGTCCTACAAGGAAATGTGTGAAAAAAATATTTTTAAGCACAATTTTCTATATTAAACCTACTCATTAAATCCGGTAATAACGAGGTGATTGTCATCTTCCAAATCAGCCGCACCAAATACAACAACAATTGATATTGACAAACAAAGGATTGGTAAATTTTTATTGAACAAACTCGTAAAATTCATTGTGGAAAAAAACATTTTCGAAGTAATAGAAAAAAAATATTTCACAAAGCCATCTATAACGACACACCCGATGCAGTTAACGGGTTTGCAATTTCTGCGAGAATAAGTATTCGCATTATATGGGACTGAGTCAAAAATTGGGTTTTTACGTCACGTCCGGCACGCGGTTTTCAAAATTGATAACATGCAAAACTTGCGACTAAGACACATAGACGATAAACAAAATGGAACGCAATTAGTGATAAAAAAATATTAAAATTTCTTATCATATTGAGAGTCTAAGTTATTATATCATCAATATGGAGCTTATGTTATAGTGAAATGACTCATTGATAACATTTCAAGGACTCGAACGCATATTTTTCTGCTGATTTCAAATGCATAAATAAATTAAAGCTGTTTGTTGCTGGTTGAAGCGATCTCTCATTATACATCCTCTCGAATCCACTGTTATCATATACCGTGCGATTTAAAAACCGCATACATTTTCGTTGTTGTAAATACTTTCAATAGATGGCGTCAAAGAGTGCTATAATTCATAATCTGCTCTCTGCTGTAATGAAATGTTCGTGGAAAGCAGTGACAGCTGTAGCTAGTGGGATTGACAGTGGAATGTCAATAAGATATTTTTGCCAATTTTAGTTTTGCGTCGACAAACAAAGTTCCAAGTGTAAACAAATCTGGAAAAATTCGACGAAATTTCTTTGGGTAAGTGCACTTGAGTCAATTTAAATAAATTCTAATATGAGTAGCTACATTAAAAGTGTTGGTAAAATGAGATAAAATTTTATTTCGTGAGTAAAATGAAAATCAATCTGACACTACGAAAGAAAGCTCAAGTTTCTCTTTTTATCGTTCCTCATTGAAAAAATCCATTCAATGACGACGTAATCCTTGTGAGCGACTCATCAATTGGTTTTTATGGGATTCTAATTAGAAATCACGATTGCCTGCCCAGCGAGAGAGAGAGAGAGAGAGAGAGAGAGAATGTAACATGCAATTTCGACATTTTCGTGTTATCTCGATTCGAAGATGATCTCGACCGATAAAAAGTCATTTGCTGGCAACCTGAATGAATCACGCACAAAGAAATCAATTGAAAAAAAAATTGATGGCATCAAGTTGCAACACTAAGTGGAAAAAACATCTTTTGTTTCTTTCGTTCAGCCTGCCACCCATTGAAATGTGTCTTTCGCAACAAATCTTGTGTGTATTGTGTTTTTTCGTGTTGTTTTCCGCATTTCTAAAAAAAGAAATATTTCTATGCGCCACTTTTGTTGTTCTCTTCGAAAATGCCATCCGGATGTGTAAGAACGAACATATCGTTTGGTGTTTTGCCATCAATGCATAATAGCATTGAAGCAGCGTTCCATCGATTTGATACCGGATCTAAAATTTTTGCTTTGTCCTCTATCAGCGCTTTCACGTGCGCTACAATAAACGTACATGTTGTTGTTGTTGTTGTTGTTGCTTTTCCCTACTTTGTATTTTTTCTTCTTCTCTTCTCTGTGTGTAAACACATGCAAAAGTAACGGCGGTGACGACGGTAGCAGCAGCAGCAACAACAACAAAAACAGCACTGCTGTGCAGTATCTGTGTTGTTGTGTTGTCTTTTATAAATGTGTGACTCGAACACTATAGCAAAATAGTTCGAAAGCGTCTCATAGTGCTGGTACATGAACTTGATTCGCGTTATATTTGACTTGTCTCCGTTTCGTTGGTGCGATGGCTTTATCATATTTGTTTTAATTTTAAGGTGTTGTGTTGTATTTGTTGCTTCTTCTTTCATTTCGTATTCATTCATTCTCTTTTCACCCGTGTGAATAAAACACTCGCGCGGTGCAATCGGCTGCTGCTGCTTCTGCTGCTGCAGCTGCTGCTGTGTGATAAAATGTAGTGTGTACGCTTTGTACGATTGTTGTGTTATTTGCCTGTGTATTTTTGTGTGAAGAGTGTGCTGAGTGCTGACTGTTGAGTGTGAGAGATGGGTTTTTGTGAGTGTTTCGTCATTATTTCCCCGCTACTCTATTTCATTCGTTTTGTTTCGAATCGCACACGAGAGAGCCAATGTGTCTTTCTTCGTAGCTAAAATCCAGAAAAAAACTTCACCGATAAACAGATTTTACCAGTATTTCTGATTTTGATGGTGGATTTCGATGAGTTTTGATTTTATCGGTAAAGTGTCACACATCGCATTTTGATCCGGTTACAATCTTCGGCGATTTAATTTTTCTTCTTCGTCTTCGCCTTCATCATCTTCTTCAGTGGTGCTGTGATCTTTTATGGAATACCATCAAATTCACGTTGTGATCAAAGTTTCAGTTTCAATAACAAAAGTTTAGTATATTTGTAAAAGGAGCAGTGACGAAAATTAAAGAGAATCTTAGCAGCAGAATAATTTTTTTGACCGTGATTAATATTCGAGTTGCAAATGAGTTTAATTAACGTTTTGCATGTACATATAAGTGATTAAGAATCGACTCAATTGGAATTAAAGTGAGTTAATTAGTAAACAGTGAATCAACTAACAGTTCAATCGAAACAATTAGCAAATTAAATTGCAATCATCATGATTAAAGACAGTAGTGATCCCAGTGATATTAGTATTTCATCAATTAATTTCAAGGTACAGAAAGATAAATTGCTCACTTTTTTTATAACAATGTGCTTATCGATGTTTCGAAGCCAAAGAAAAAAAGAACCGAAAGACACAAGAAAGATTAGAAGCTAGATTAAGCGATTGCATCATTGAAATCTGCATTTAAATGGCCAATTTATTCGGCTAGAAAACATTCTAATCCACAATGACTTGGACGATATCCAACTATGGATTCACCTTATTTCAGTTGCAATTTATTCGAAAAAATATAGACCACCACCGATTTTGGTAGCTCGAATGCAATTTGTAAAATTTACGATGTCTGTTTGTGCGAATTAGATAAGAAGAACAGAATGACAGCAAGCCACTTTTTTTTGCCGAACTGAACATTTTTTCTGGTGATGAGAGAAAATGGGAGAAACATGACGCGAAAATAAATGGTTTGCAAACGATATAATAATAGAATTTATCGACATAAATGATGATGATGAGTGTTGAAACGGGATATTTATAATCTCAGCCCATCTATGGAACATGTACATACGCCACGATATTGTTACAAATCATCGATGATTTCAGTCGCTTTTTTGCTATCTATGTCTCTCTCTCTCTGTCTCTTTCTATCTTCCGTTTGTACAAGTCGACCGAAAAAAGGCAATTTTAAATATAGATCTCGTGTTCATCCATAATTTATGCAAAAAACGAGATGATAGTTCTTTGAGTCGACGACAACGTTGTTTCATTATAAAAACACATTTCAGATGTCATAATTTGAATATTGTCTACTTAGTGTTAAAATCGTCAAAGAGATGGTCCTATATATTTATATATGTAGAGACAGAGAGAGAGAGAGAGAGAGAGAGCGATTGGAAGAGAATGGCCCACAGTTGGTATAGAATCATCATCACGAAATTCATGCTGAAAAAATGGAAAAAAGCAGCAAATCAAGCGTACGCCATAGACAACCCACGTCAATATAAACATAATACAGCTATTATTTTTACATCCGTGATCCGTGTAGGTAACCTCATAATTATTGAACACAATATTGTGCGACCTATAAAATGTGCTTTTTCATGCACACAATACACACGCACGCTTTCATTTAAGCTCTCTATCACATTTCGTGGCCCCATGCATCGCTATGGCATGGCTTCATTTCATTAATGCTGCTGCTGCAACTGCTGCTCAAGACTTAGGTGAAACGAGCAAGATAGAAGAAAATCAACAACTCCCGTCATGCTCAAATCTCTTGCTCTTTGTGTGTATTTGTGATTGACGTAGGACCCGTCGAGTTCATAGCACGAAACATTACTAACATTTCTGTTCATGCTTTCAAATTAGCATTTTAAAGACAATAATGCGATTTTTCGCATAAACACCTTGCTTACGCGATTATCAACCACAAAACGTTTGACGTTGTGTGTCACTGACACTCGCAGCCGATGCTTATCTATGAGAAATAAAATGTCGGCTAAATTTAGAGGCGTCCATCGGTTCGATTTTTTTTCTATATTTTTTATGATCTCATATTTGCAAAATTAAACGTAAATAATTAGCATGCGTGGTTCTATAAATAGCATTTGTCTTTCTTTGGAATAGACATAAGCTAGAGGAAGACCAGTTTTCCGCATTAAATTTTGGCAATTTATATGCCCAATGGAGGCGATGAATTGAGGCTATGAGAATGAAAATGGCAATACAGGAATAAGAATTTTGAAACGCATCAAGAAAAAAAATTCGCAAAAATGAATCATGAGTTCTGAATATGCAAAAGTGAAACATGAATTTACATGGGCAGCATAGAAGGTTCATGGTTCACTTTTGCGTATTCAGAACTCATGATTCACTTTTGCGAATTTTTTTCTTGATGCGCTTCAGAATGTTTATTCCTGTATTGCCATTTTGATTCTCACAGCCTCAATTGTGCTTTGGTTTTATGGTTTTCCCAATTCCGCTTTCATAATTTCGCTAAAGCAAAAAAACCACAGTGTATGCAGAAATGCATTGCACAGTCGCATTTTGGGTTCGAGTTCACAAAACTGTAAATCCATTTAGAATGAATGTGCGGTTGTGCCAAAAAAAAAACTGCGCACTTAAATGAAAATCGAAACCATAACCAAAAAAAAAAAATAAGAATAGTAAATGGGTTACGCTTTTTTTATGCAAAGCAAATATTCAGTCATACATTTCGGCACGCTTTTACGCCATCAATTTTTTTTGTCGCTCACTCTTTCATATTTCTCGTCGTCGCGCCATCGATTCATTTCTTATCGAAGCATATTATAGCGTTGATTTATCGAACAGGATGTATCAAAGTAGCAGCAACTGCTGCCGCTGTGGCCGCCACCGTCGTTGCTACAGCAGCCATTCACATATATTCATATATACATCCACACACATCGTGTTCAGTATAGGTCATGTGAACGAACGTCACAAGCATTAGCAGCTCAAGTCTAGCATTCATAACTTTATCACTCGATTATGTGCTTGACATTAGCATCGGCCAAGCACATCACTCTATCCCACCTACCGGATGTAAGCGATGATCAATTATCGAAAATCCGTGTTAATCCAATATAAAGTTATTAAATAAAGCATGCATTGCATTTTCATTTAAATGCATCAGTAAGTCAGCCCACTTGAGCTAATGCCATTAAAATGTATCGCATCGCGAAATAGGTCAATTCGAAAATTGTACTTAATGGTAATAAACTTGTTAATTGCACACGAGAAACCCATAAAAGCCATTAAATGAATAAAAATCAAATGGAAAGGCCTGCAATCGTCATGGTATTCGCATGGATGAAATGTGAGGCAAAGTAATGCCACAGAATGAGAAAGAGAGAAAAATTGGGTTTTGTGTGAGCGAAAATTCCGTTGCTTTCTATCGGCATCGAAAAATTTCCCCCAAAAAGAAAGACATCCGCGTTTCCAACGAAAAAACAAACGAATCTTACACTCGATATTTAATTATTGAGTAAAGAAACAAAACCAACAACAATTTTGAATAATACGTACAGCAAACAGCGAATTGATAGAGAGAAAGAGAGGCGGGCAACAGAAAGATGAGAAATAAACGAGAAAGAAAAGAGATGAAAACAAACGCAGATGTGAATAAATTTAAATAATTACCGTGAAAACTGCAACAACATGTAGCATATCAATGCTTGTATTAATATACACACAAAAACCCAAGCAGTTTGTTCGATTTTGAGTGAAAGGGGTTTTCAGATTTTGTTTGCATCACATGCGTTTCGGTGTGCTACAATTTCTGTTCGTGCATAAATATTCGTAACAATGACGTCGATGAAAGTCCAACAACAAATAACTCCAATAAGCAATAGCATCAGCAGCAGCGACGGCGGTGGTGACTGTGGTGGAGACAGCAATAACGAGCTACACAACGACGAGTCTGATGTATAGTGAACTTGCTGTCATCTCCGCGCATTGTGTGCAATCCGAGCCGAGTGCCGTGTGCTGCCGCTGCTGCTGCTGCTGTTGATGTGATATTGTTGTAGTTGTTGTTGCTTTTGCTCGCGACCATGATTGAAACCGGATAATCCATAGCAATACGGCCAAAGACATGGTTTTAAATGCAATACACTGTAATAAGTAGTACACACAATCGTACCGATTTACTTGGGCTTGCCATAAATCGTAATCACACACAAACAATACCCATTTGGTTTGAGTTTTTTGTACATCTTTGCGGGCTATTTATTCTTGACGTTTGCACAATGCTCAATGATTGTGTTTCATATATTGAACCATTTTTCAAGAATAGATATGTAAACGAGTGGTTTTTTTTCTGTTCGAGGATTTTCACATTTTCTGCTTTTGTTTGTCGATTCAATGCAAAATGTGTTGTTTGCTTGCGCATACATTCAATAATCGTTTTTTTATTTTCCCCCCCCCCCATGGATTTGTAGACTTACATGGATTCATTGGCAGTGGCAGAGGGCGAGGATTCCAGCTATGATTCGGAGTGCGATATAGATAGCAGCCATGAGCAAGTATCACGAACGACAAGTGATACGCTTGGTCAGGAATTTGCCGAATATGTAAGTCAGCCGCCGCAATTAGTCACAAAGAAAGTCGATTCATCGCCCAGCTACACGCAACGCGTTGAATTCGCGCTCAAATTGGGATATACGGAGAAATTGGTGCAGGCAGCATTGACTCGGCTTGGCACTGACCCAGCACAAAATGAACTCTTAGCCGAATTGATAAAATTGGGCGCGCAACAAGGCAACAAATCTGATTTGTGTGATCCACACAATTCATTGCCAAATGGAACAGAGACGCCCTGCAATAGCGGTAGTTTAGCGAATTCGAGTAATGGTAAACATGAACCTACAGATGGCAGACACACTGGTTTGCGCCCAATCGTTATCGATGGAAGTAATGTTGCGTATTGCCATGGGAACAAAGAAGTTTTTTCGTGTCTAGGCATTCGATTGTGTGTGGAATATTTCAAAAATCGAGGCCACAAGGAAATTACGGTGTTTGTTCCCAAATTTCGAAAGGAAAATCCACGGCCCGATAATCCAATCAAAGATCAAGAGCTCCTTTTCGAATTGGAAAAAGAACGACTGCTCGTCTATACACCTTCGCGTTTTGTTGGAGGCAAACGCACTGTCTGCTACGATGATCGATATATTTTAAAGGTGAATATCGACATATACATAATTAATTCACAACGATTCAGTGTAGAATATCGCATTTCTGATTGAATATTCAATATTTCTTGTCTCACCAGATATGACAGAAATCTCGTTTAATAAATCGTATCATATAATAACTCTTTGGATTGAATTTCAGTTGGCTGCCGAAAGTGATGGTGTTGTCGTGTCAAATGACAACTACCGTGATTTAGCAAATGAAAACATGGAATACAAAAAAGTGGTGGAAGAGCGTCTCTTAATGTATTCTTTTGTAGCAGATCGATTTATGCCACCTGACGATCCACTCGGTCGAAGTGGTCCAACGCTTGACAATTTCCTTCGTATGCAGCCAAAGTATGTGATGAGAACAATGCCAAAATTCTTGAACAGTTTTTTGTTTTTGGTTTCAGTTTTTTATTCCAATATGTTATTTTTACAGAAAAAGTGATCCGCAGCCCCAGTGTCCCTATGGCAAAAAATGTACGTATGGAAATAAATGCAAATTTTATCATCCGGAACGTGGAATGGGACCACATAAATCAGTAAGAAGTATAAGTCAATATTAAAATAATAGAATAGATATAATAATTAAAGTCCAAGTATATTTTTTTATTTATTGTTTCATAACGGTTTTTTTCAACGAGATTACATTCATATTAATTTTCTTTCGTCTTTTTTGAACGTGGACAAAGATTCAGTGTGATATGACGACGATATGATTTTTTTTTACCACAATCTGTACATTTAAACTGCTTTTCACCATACATTGCCTTCTTTGTCTCTTGTAAGCTGTGTGTTTTCATATACCGCTTCTTTTTCCAATCGGTAAAAAATTTTTCCTCGCAGAAATCACATTTAAATTGAGGTGGATTCTCTGAATGATAATAGCGTTGATGTCTGTTAAGAGTTTTCTTTTCTTTGAACACCTTCGGACACAACAGACATTGGTGGGATACATCCGCATCTTTGCCATGTTTTAACCTCTTGTGTGCAGTTAAATCCACTTTTTGGACGTAGCTTGTATCGCATTGATCACATGCGAATTGCTTCTTGGCAGACGCTGCTTTTGGTGCAACTTCTCCTCCTGCTGGCACTGTTGATACAAAAGCATCTGCTAAACTGCTTTCGGTCAATCTTAGAATGATCTGAAACGTTCTGTTTGGTGAACAATTCTTTGCCGCAAACTGGACACCATACACTTTTGTCTTTTGCTTTCTTTACTTGTGGCAAATCAATTGGATTCGTCATTCACATGAACACAATTCGTTCCCAGTTGCTTTGATCGTTCAACGACTCTAGCAAATAGGCACCGAGATCATTTTCATCTGCTTGTGTTTGCAGAATATGGAGTGCTTCGGCTGGCACAACTTCGGCTCGTACATCTATTAACAACTTTCTTTCTTCTACACTGAGAACGCTCTTCAGTTTGCCACACACGCATGCTTCGAAGATTTCCTTTGACATTTTCAATCCTTTCAACATGACAATTTCAAAACCATTCGGATAATCATCATTCTCGTTAATTATTTCGAGCAATTTTCCGTACAAATCGTTATGTTGTTCCGTGTATCTATCATTCAATTTTATTACAATATTTCCGATATGTAAGAGTATGCGTCTTGTTCCCATTGCTAAGTTGAAATTACTTGCACTTTGCTTTGCACCACTTCCGCCAATGTAATTTTTGTTATTTTTATACATGAAGGTGTAACCGATTGTCATTGTGTTGTCGTAAGATTCTCGGTAAAATATCACCAATTCTTCATACAACTTCATGCCGTGGCAATTGACAACCTATTTGGTTTTGAAATTGGCAATATGAATCGATGGCTCATCAAATGCAACGAGATCAGATGAACGTATCTTCTTGCGACCTGAAGAAAGCCCCAGCAAATCTAACCATTTATTTGGATCATTGCTGACTTAGTTTGTTTTGGTGACATTTTCAATTGATCCTGCACTTGCATCTGAAATAAAAACAATTCATGATCCCATTGCCAATGTGAGAATTTTCAGATATAAGCGCTCATCTAATATTTAATACATGCCCTTGTTTCGATCTTTTTGTGTTTGTACTTTTTGTGAACTCGGCGGCGGTGGTGGCAAATTTTCTTTGCTTGTACTTTGGAATGTGTTTTTTGTCGCATCACTTTTTGATTTCTTTGGAATCGATACACTAACGGGAATGATGACCGCTGCTTGCCGTTTTCGTTTGTTTTCCATATTTTTAACAACACTTGTTGCGCTGTAATAGTTTGCACAAAGCAAAACCACGAATGAACGTGTCTCCTGTACGAAAGTTTAGTTAAGACGAGCGTGCAGCATCAAGCATATTACGGCTAACAGTTGTGATTGATACAGTGCGCAAACACATTTACCCTTTTCTTATACATACACAAACACATCGATAAATTTAAATGATATGCACGCACTGCCGAGCTGAATTGAATGAATTTTTCCTTTTTCTTCAAGTCTAATTGAAATAAAACCATTGAAATATTCTGAATATTTTATCATTTGAAAATAAATAAAATTAAAAAAATCACCTAAATACATCTATGGAATGAATACAAAAATATCCTCCTATAGATCATAGAGCGTCTATCTGAGCATGCTGCCCGCCACTTATCAGCACGAAACTCCGATGGCAATACGAAAACGGCGTGCGGTAAATCGCTTAGCGTTCCATTAAGTAGCAACACATCCGAACTCAATGATCGACGAAAACCATTAGGTATGTAATTGTTGATATAACACAGAAAAAAATCGTTGAAATTTTGTTTTAAATGAAATTGTTATTTTGATACTTTTTTTCTGCAAAATTTTCGAATGTTCATTCATCTAAATATTTTCTCTATATTTTTTTTACTCAGCGAGAACGCGTTCATGCACACACGATGGTTGTAATCCATCAAACTGTCACGAATCAACGCATAAACATCGCATACCAAACCCTAATAAAGCATCGTTTGGAAATACGTTAAGTCCTGAGGACCACAATGACATAATGACTGCATTTTCCGAGTCATGTAGATTAGAGAGTTTAGCGCCCGAATTCAATTCCATTCCAGTACAACAACAACAGCAACAGTCACCCATTGGCAATCCACACCAGCACAATATGTATGGTGTTGGACCAGCGTCTACAGCAATTCATACGTCACAATCAGCCCAATCACAACAATCCGTTCGACCCATACTACATTATACGCACGGCAACATTCTATCACCACCGACCACATCAACTGGTTCAAACCAAACAACGATGCTAGAAAAACGAAACGACGTCAATTTACATCAGAAACTACAACGACAATTGTCACTGAATCCAAACGCATTTGATCCACGACTCCTTCGAATGCATAATGCAAACTCATTACAAACGAAACATTCGCATCCCGAGCAAATGCAACCGGAACCGTCACAAGTGATGCAACAGCACACCGGTCAACATCGTCAATTGGCACCATCGCACAGTGGCCCCAGATCACACATGACAAACCATTGGGATTTGCATCAGGTTGGTCATCATTGGTCTGGCTCTATAGAAGTAAAGTAATAAGTAACTTATTACATATTACTTATTACTTTCATTTTATTTCTGTAATAAGATAGACTTATTACTTATTACTCGTCTTATTACAGTAATAAGATTGTAATAAGTATCTTATTACTTTTGGTGCAAAAAAAAATCGCAAAAAAAGTTTCATGTAAAAAACATGTCAATTTTCTTCAAAAGTTTCATACAAAAATCATGTCGAATTTTGCAAGACACATTTTTTTCAACATTTTTTCGTCTGACAAAAATTGACATGTTTTTTACATGAAACTATTTTTGCGATTTTTTTTTGCACCAAAAGTAATAAGATACTTATTACAATCTTATTACAATTACAATCTTATTGCTGTAATAAGATGGACTTATTACGCATCTTATTACAGTAATAAGTAATAGGTCATCTTATTAAAGTAATATGTAGGTAATAAAGTAATAAGAATTACATTTTTTTTACTTCTATATCTGGCACTGATTTTTTCTGATTTTGCTTCAAAATTCAACTTAATTTTGGTTAACTAAATTTTATTTACCAATTTTTCGAATCTTCTGCAAACAGAATGTGACTCGCATTGCATCGGCACCGGATTCATCACGTACATGGCAGAACAATGGTGGTCCCAAAGCACAAATTGCACCCGGCGATATTTCGACACCATGGTCGCAGCAACCAAATTCAATTGGTGTGCCACAAACCACACAACCACCGAATGCAACACAAGCAAATCGACTGCACATACAATATCATTTATCTAGTATCTTCCCCGAGGAACAAGTACTGACTGTCATGAATATGTACCCGACCGAAACGAACCCGCAGAATATTTGTGCGGCAATTTTGAGCATTTTCCCAAGAAGTTAAAGATGAAAAAAGCAATGTACCGAAAGAAAAATGATTTAAACGAGAGGAAATAATGTGTAAATTTAGTGTAACATCGAATCATTCCACCATGCTTTATCGCACATACAGTGTATGTCATACGCACACCCGCACACACATTCCAACAGAAAAAAAACAAGTATTTTATTGAATATTGTCATGAATGTCTTCCATTTCCATTCCGTTTTATGTCTAGAATTGGAAACGCTTTTGATCAGTCAGAAATGTTGAAAATGTGTTGTTTTCCAATATTTAATTCCGTTATTTTATTGCTTGTAGTAGTATACTATGATAGAAAAAGAACAACAAGAACAAGAAGATGATGGATTTTATTGTTTTAAAAGAAAATCTCATGAAATAATACATATTCGTTCCATTTACGTGTTAAACGTTTCCTGTACTGGTACTGCATAATGAATTCCATTAACTTATTCGTGAATAAATCATTTATGTAATAAGGAAAAGAAAGTAGATATTTAAAAGAAAGAAAAAAAAAGGAACAAAAGAAGATTGAATGAATTGATCGAACAATGAAGATTCAGTGTTGCATTAAACTACTCAGAATCGATGATGTTTTTGAAGTACATACGAAATACGCAGCGTATTATACGCTTTCTCAAATATGTTTTAGTAAAATTAAAAAGAAGAAAAAGATGAAGAAAAAAAAACGAAAAATCAAACATATTGCATCTAATGCATAGAACAAGTTAACACACGTCTTTACCTTTTTTGTGTATGTGGAGTGCTTTCGCCCGAATGAACTATTTTATTTAATTGTATTGTATTCAAGAGACAGGTAAAAAAGTAGACATAATCTACATAATATTGCGCCCATCTCGAAAAAAAAAATTGACAAGGCTAGTACATTTTTTCGCTTTTGTTGATAAAAATCACAAAAAAAACACATATATTTTTACAATAAAAACTAGTTTTTCGAATTAAGTGGAAATACTTAAATCAGACTCTTTTATTTAAATACGAAAAAAATATGAACAATTTTCTATTTCAGCGTAACACTTTTCGAAATCAATTATCATTTGTTACAACTATTCTAAAGGCATTTGCTTCGATAATATACAATAAAAAGAAACAATTAATCGGACCGATTAACTAGAATGTGAAACTGTTAATGTAATGGTAAATTGTACGATTAGTTGGTATTTGACGAGGCAAGTTTATTGGCTTCATCTTCAATTAAATTTTCTTGATTTGGTACCGATTGGATTGCTTCAATGGTAATTGATGATCGCCATCGCTTCTGCAGTGTATCCATTGTTGTGTCGGGCGGTATTGGATTTGTATAGTATTGATACTTTTCTTTGGCTTTTTCGAATTTGTCGATGATGCTCGACCTGGAAACAAAATCAAAATTTCCATAAATTACATTAAAATTCGAGCATATCCGGGTCCACCTTTGAGATGTGAATACATACCGAATCAATTTTTGGTAGAGAACGTAGGCACTTACGTGCCCAGCGTCAATATACTTGACTTCTGCACCTGGCCAGATATCTTCCAAACTGCTTGTACCTTCCCGCGGAACGTATGCATCGTCTTTTGCACACACCGCTGTAATCAATGAAGTGTCATACGGCACGCTGAAGTTTTTCAAGTGTGTACATTCGTCCATCATTCCACGCATAAATTGCAATGCTTCTCGTTCCCACCACTTAATTTTGGTTGTGTCAATGGGTTCAAGCTTTAATCTCGCCATTATATCGATGACATTGTCTTCTTCTATCGTACTCTCATGTGAATTATTGTTTAACTCCTCAATTTGTCTATAAATCTCGCTAATTTTATCGGACGTACAATTCGCCGTGGAAACAGGCGTATCCGATTGGTAACTGATATTGTTTGCAATTGTTTTGAGGTCATTGTCTAAATTCGAATTTGTATTATCGTAATTTTGAACAAAACGCCTTCCGGCCATAAATGCTTCGTCCCAACCGTCCACAACATTCACCATTTTCGCCAGCTTCTTCCGAAATACACTTGACGAAAAGAATTGATTCTCCAACTCAGACCAATTTATCGACTCAGACATTACGCCCTGCAAAAGATTGAAACGGATTCTCGAATTATTTTTGGCACAGATTAAAATACAAGATTTTTGGGAAATTGGGTGATTTAGATAAGTAAATGAGTGAATGAGAGAAATAGAGATATAATTTGAAGTGAATGGAGATGATGAAATAGAATCGCATATCAATCAGTACCTGAGTAAAAACTGCCGCCGCTGTTGACCACGACAAGCATGGAACAACGACCAATGGTTTCGGCCAGTTTGTAGCTGCTAATGATGCCATCTGGAACAAGAAATAGTTTTAAGCTTTTTTTTTGTATAACTAAATTATTTCTTCATTCGTTAAATGAAATTCAAATATCACTTACATGACCTCCCATCGATAATCCACTAACTCCAAGTGGGCCCAATCCATTTCGTTCACAGAAATGGAATAAAACGAGGCTCTCGAGTATGAGGCATCCTCCCATCACAAAGATATCCGACACGTGCTGCAAATTTGATCGACTGTTTCAAATGTCAAATGTACCAAATTAGAACCATAGCAAAGAAACAAGATGAACAATCTCAGAATAATTAAAAACCAGTTCTTACACTTGATCTTTCGGCTTTCTCAAACCGTAAAACGGATTCTCAAGTAGAATGGCACCAATGCCTCCTTCACGAAGCAATGGTTTGGCCATAAAATTTCGTCTTCTCCAGAAAAACTAAAAATAACACGACTCGTTTTGTTAATCTGTTGAAATTAATTGTTCATCTCTTTATCACTCACGTGATCTCCGGTACCAGCAAAATGTACACAAACTGGCTTGTACTTTTCATTTTTCCATTTGAGTGGTAACACGAGTTGAAAATTTGATTTGCGAGATTCGGGAGGTACAACGCCCGGCAGAAATAGTTCCATTGGCGACAAAAATTCACCATCAATCAGCAAACATTCTGAAGTTTTTTCCTCCTAGAAAAAAAGCAATATATATCAATTGTCAGCAGCCATAGTAATGCCCAATAGGTCCGAAAAAATAACAAAATTGAAGGTTGAATGACTTGCACTCGTTGTGAACTTACCCGAGTTATTTGAACTGGATAGTCTCTCGGAATGAGATTGTAGCATGTGTCACGATTTGATACAAACTTTCGGAATTCGAACAATCTATTAAATGAAAATTTAAAAGAAAAATTATGATCGGCTTTACGTTTTAAAATGAAAATTTCAATAATTGAACGATGAATTTCGCGATCATAAATAAACTTATATAATAATCGCACCATGGTTTCGTTAATTTTATTATTGTTATATCGATTCGATGAAAATGCATATGTATCGAAAGTGTAATCATCATCATCATCATTATTATTATATAAATAGAGAAGAAATTCAAGTCGGAGGCAATTTGTTTATCACAAAACCTCTCTATTTATGCTCCGTATTAGTAATGGACATTGGCGTACGTGATTCTTGTAAACAACAAATCGTATGATGTGTGATGTGATTTGCTGTCTCTTTTGTGCGCGCATTCGCGCCAAATACACGGGTGTCCTGTTCTTACCTTCGCAGATTTTCTGCTTTTCCCCAACCTTTCTCAAAGAATCGCGTTATCAGCATCCTTCGATAGATTTTGTCCAGTCGACTTGCCGTGGCCGTTGACATTGTGAATGGAATTTTCTTTCTCTATTTCTTCACCTAACAATAACACCCCTATTTACAGCGATTGAAATGTGCACCATGAAAATTTCAACAGAGATGAGTTTTGCTGTGTAAGCAATAGCAAACAAATATCGTTAGATGCGATTGAATCAATGTTTATTAAACGAATGACTAAGATGATCGGCATCATTCAAAATGAAATTTGCAAATTGATCAATTGCCATCCGAGTGATATTTGATTTTCTTTGCACAACAACAACACGAACAGTTTCGAAACACACCAAAATCGTACGATTCAAATTATTCATTGAGGTAATGCTTTCTTCTTCTTACTGAACTTTTATTTTGTTCATTGTCAAAATCAAGACGTAATTGGTGACAGCGCCACGATAGATTGATTTACGTACTATACGTAAAATAGAACATAACCTCAATTTGGGACACGATTGACATTTGGCATTATGATAACGAAAATTCAAATAAACAACACACATCACTGCTGGGATGCTAAAATTGCGAAAGAAATCATTTGCAAAACGATGAATGAAAATTTGGTTTGATCATAAATATTAGAGATTTATTCAATTATGCTCGCCATGTTCACATGAATAGAAAATACGATTAAGTCACACTTCGGTCTCGTAAAATTGTCGCTTCAACTTTTAGATGTTAAATACTTGGTTCATATTAAAAAGGGTTTGATCGTCATTTAATTGCGTTAAAATGTCACTCAAAAAACGGGCGTGTATATTTGAAAAGTCCATTAGGCTTGTTGGTTTACATTCCACCCAAAACTTGTCGAATTCATAGAATAAATAGCAATAAAAACGATGAAAATGCTTTAAGCTGAGATGCTGCGTTTTTAGATTGAACAGATGGGTTTTGGCCGCACCATTCTGAAGTAGATTATAGGCCATTGACGTTAAGTTGATTCCAACGATGGCAAACGTGTATCCATGAATCGGATGCACTGAATGAGAGAGAACATATCGTGCGGCTGCAGTATACTCTTCGGCGAAATACAAAAGATTTTCCAATCCAAGCAAACCCATTCCTAAAAGAAAAAAAAAATCACAATTGATTTGATGAACATTTTTTTGCATCGTTTGCTGAGCTAAAGGATAATTTTTGGCTGGAACTTACCTCTAAAATCGGTCGACGGATTATCACCTTGGAATCCAATATCTTGCCACTGCTTTGAGATTCGACCTTCAAGCGGTTGTTCTGGCATCAGCAAGCGCCACAACTTCAACAGTTTATTTTCATGATCCACATTTTCGCTATCGAATGACATTTTACGAATATCTTCAATGTCAGCACACAGACGACGGTAGCTCCAAATACTTTCAATGCACACCCCCAGCGATGGACCAAAGTCGGGATGGATTTTTCGTTTGACTTTCTTCACTTTCAGTATAGTTGACACAGCATGCGGAATTAATTGACCATGGAATTCATCCATTGCCACTTTATTCGCAATAGTCTCGTTCAATCGGTCAATCAATTCTTTTATTGGTTTCTGTCGCGACAGCGATAGTGATTCTTCGACACATTTCTTCCGCTTTGCACCTGAAAAAATCACAAATGTATTAGAGTATTTCGAAGAACAAATTAAAGTAAACGATAAGAATTCGAAATCATATTAGCCTCACCTGACTCACAACCGTAACAAATTCGCTGCAATTCACACAATCGAGTAAAATGTCGCAAAAACCATTTGATAAATGGTCGTGCGTAAGCGTAGAATAATGAGACAATCGTCAACATTATGAGCACACGCGTATTGAATTGGCTCACACGATGAAGAAGCGAAAAATTTGACTAGATTATTGGATATTTACAGCGAATGCATTTTATTTGATTTGTGTTTTGTGTTACCCTGGAGATCGCACAAATCAAATGGGTTAAGAATAGCTTGTGTCTTTTATTATTTAGTTTCCAATGGGATTTGTGACAGCTGACACCACGTACATTTATCTAACTGACAGTTGTGTGTCATTGCGAGTGCTGTGAGTCAGCGCTGCCAACACAAAAATCAAATGCACAAAACTTACGTTGAACGGCATAACGGACCGATGGCATGGGTGCAGAAATTATGCGCTCGCCTCTCACTTTATCACAGACTTGCGAATCGAATTACACGTGCTTTGTATTTGTATCGTTTTTGCTATTTTTTCTGTATTCGATTTTTATGTGAATTTTTTTTTTTTGTTGCGTCGCGTCTTTTAATTGATTCTCACGATTCAATTTTGATAAATAATTGGAAATATCTGCCGACTGATTTCGATTTGGGTGTTATTAATCGGAACAAATATGCGATATCATAATTTGGAGCTGGACATGCTACTGCGTGGTATGGTGATGACACGTGGCGAAAATGGAGCAACAATCAGCGAAATGCGGTCCGACTATTACAAAATCTATGGTGAGCAATGGCCATTGCAACACGAAAGTACTCGAAAAATTATTCAATATCTGATGGAAATCGATGGATTGATACTGAACCAGCACGAAGATGGTTTATGTAAGTAAAATTGAATGGATTTGTGCATGTTGAACATTGAATTTTTTCCCAATGGGCAGGCATTTGGTACATCGATGACATTGGAATTAACGTCAGCGAACATGATTCCAACAACAATGTTATCATGATTGACACAACGGTGGTCACGGAATCGGAGAAGAATCAGCCGGTGCACAACAACAGCTATGCCCTTCCTGCACCGCGCTGTCGCATGATAACCTCATCACTTGTAAGAGAGAATGCTCAAGAGGTTTCATCCACATCAACATCATCCGATACATTACTTATCGAATCAATCGACAATGGACATCTCAAACGGAATCTATCGCAACTCAGCCAATCTCACCAATCCATGGAGAAGCGGAAGAGATTGATGCCACCAAACGGACTGCGCCTAAACGAAGAGAATCTCGATATTCACAATCGTGAAAATGGAACAGGCGAAATGGTGAAGCAGACAACATCGACCGAAATTGAAAAATCCATTTCGATTCCAAACGATGTGATCGATGGATGCATCGCCGCAAATGACTACATTGCACCGATCAAAGAGCCCGAAAGCAAACAATTGCAACAGTGAGTAGAGTTTTTTTATTTGGATTTTTTTCTCTTCATTTTCTGAACCAATAAATTTTTGCTTCCAGATCATTTGCGAAGCGATGCCGAATCAATTCAAAACACGATTTCATCCTAGTGGATTCGGTGGAGTCGACCATGTCATTGGAAGAACAATTGTTTCCGCCGAGCGTTAGTATCATCGGAGATGATTATATGCGTTCGCTTATCAGTTTTGAGCTATACGGTGCAGATTTTACCAATGAAAATGGTGAGTTGAACGCCTTTTTGTGTTTTATCCATTGTTTCATATGATTTTTATACATTTTACCTGATTTCATGGCTTTAATTGGACAAATATTGTGTTTTACATTTACAGACAAGCGATTTGAATATTGTATTAGCGGTCAAACCGTGCGAGAAGCATATCATTTGGTTCTTGACAAACAGAACCGGCTTACGAGTCAATGTCGCTATTTAATTGTGAATGTGGGTGCGATTGATGTTTTGCTTCAGCGAAATTTTATCGATATAATCTCTGAATATGCACGTTTAATAAGAGCTATATTAACGATTGGCTTAACGCCCATAATAACAACCATCCCAAATCTGTGGATCAACAGCAACAATCCAAACTACAAAACCATCTATCAAACGTTGCTGTTGTTTAATCAGTTCCTTTTGAGTCAATACGGAGATGGATACAAACTGTTGGACTTGCACTCATGTTTTTCAGATCACAGAAAGCATTTTCCCAGCATATATTACCATAAGTAAGTAACTTTGATAACAATATCTCATTCCCACGAAGTAAAGTCGGCAAAAACATATCAAATTTTCTATTGATTCGTTCAATTTTCAGCCATCCGAAAGTGATATCGAAGGGTGATAAGAAGCTAGAGCTTTGGCGCTGGACGGAACTCGGCCGAAAGAAGATTCTCGACAAAATCAATTTGTCACTTCACACACTCACGGACGTCCAGTGAATCTGATTTGCCCACTTTTTCGAAAAAATCATGAAGAATTTTACAAATTACTGCTTGATAATCCCATATTCTGACGCTAAAATGTAGGTCTGTGAGTTAGTTTATTTAATTTTCAAGCGACACAAATTGCATGAAAAATTTATTTTTTGATCCACGAAGTCGGTAAAATCAACAGCAAATGCAAATTGTCTTTACCTTAAC